GATCACATGCTGGTCATCGAGCAGTGCCACAACTCCCGTGCAGTAACCATCTTCATCCGTGGAGGCAACAAGATGGTATGGCGTTCACTGCCATCGCCAGCACTTTTGTAGTGTGGTTGGTGGGTGGGAGGGTTAGTGCGGCATCTTTGTACTTGGTTAGAACGAGGTGCACGCCAGTGGCCAATCCAAGGGGGGTTAGCGATGAAAACAATCGGCCCCTTTAGACTCTGAATCTTCGTATTCCATTGATAATTAGGAGAAGAAATACAAATACACTTCCGTGTGATGTAAAACAGGCACGTGTGATGCTTGCTACACACGCGTGCTGCGGCGTGAACCAAAGGCGGATCTAATAACTTCCATTTTTACATCGAGGGTAGTGAACATTACGTGCGCTTGTTTTACATGAATGGACAAAATGAGTTTACCCGGTCTTATCTGTAAGATAACTAGCTTTGGTACATCTCATGCATTGACATTGCTCTGTACCAATGCCTGGATATGATTTTCCTTGCTCTGCACATCAGATTACACTCTCTCAGCAAATTAGGATTTTGGTCAGGAAATAGCTTTTCTTCCAGATTTGTGGTATATAATTGGTCATCTATGTAAACAAAATTGAAGCAAATCAATGTCGTTTATTTGTTCCCTGACCGACGTGCTCCCTTTATCTGTGTTTTATTGTAATTGTGGTTTTATTTAATAGTAAAATATATATAATAAAATTGCCTTGATATCGCAACCCCGGATTCTGTTTTTAGATCATTGAAGAGGCCAAGCGCTCCATCCACGATGCTCTGTGCGTGATCCGCAACCTGGTGCGAGACAACCGCGTTGTGTACGGAGGCGGATCTGCTGAAATCAGCTGCTCATTAGCCGTTTCGGAAGCTGCAGACAAGGTAACGATCGCAAATGATTTGTTTTTAACCTGTTCCAATGATGTACGTCATCGGTTTTTCTTCCGATTCTGGTCTCAACCGGAAGAAAAAAATCGAATTACTTAATTGATACTGAGGCTCCCGCAAGGCCATGCAGGAGGGCATGTGGCACAGTTTGTCACCAACTATCATCGAAGTGCGGTCGTGTCGCCGCAGTTCTCCGCAGCGAGTACAACGTCTTTAAAAACAAACGGCGCTATGCCTCTCTAAATGAAATGAACGCTGAACCGCTTTGCGCGTTCCGGGATTCATCGGTGAACGGGACACCTACCCTGCAACTTGCAGGAATCTTGAAACGGGATAGGGTTAATAAAAGCAGCCTCGTACGCCGGAGCGTCTCGGCTTTTAACACGCGATACGCGACTTGCATCACATCTTGTCTCAAGCGTTTGAAAAGGGTTTGCACCCCCTTGGCGCAAGCGATGATGATTTTTTGTTCTATGGTAATTGAGCAATTTCACAAATTAATTGCACATCAGTAGAAAATTCAGAGTAATTTTGATAGTGCATATTAGGTGTATGTCACGGTAATTAAGTGTATATATATAGAAACAGGTTTATTTTGTAAGAAGGCATTGGTTTGAGATGTACATGATTTCAACTGAAGGCACGATCAGACCAAGTGTGGATACAAATTTCAGTCCCACATCGTTTTGCCAGTTCTCCCTTGTGATGAACGGTTGACAAATTAATTCTATTGGTTTACATGCTATGCCTAATTAAAAAAAAGCTATTTCATGATTAGGTTCATAATTACCCACACACACACACCTTTTAATGTCTGAAATGTATATCTAAAAGTCTTGGAGCTGCTATATTGGTACGTTTAAGCAGGCTAGGTGTCCTAGATCCCTGACAAACCCGATGTCTCTTGACCAGGAGTTACGGCTTTGTACTGCATTAAATTTGACAAAATATTAAAATTAGATAGGAATGCCATTAAAATATGAAGATTAATTTACAGTGGATCTAAATCAGGGGTGGGCAAATTTCTTCACTCGTGGGCCACAGTGGTTTCTAAATTTGACAGAGGGGCCGGGCCAGGAACAGATGGATGGAGTGTTTGTGTGAACTAATATAAGTGACATGTAAAAATCATTACATGAAAGGATTTGGCCTTTAACAGGTAGCAAAGCATTTATTTGCAAGGCAATTTAACAAATTGCACGAACATAAACAATACAAAAACATGTCGTAACTCGCGGTCAAAGTGCGCCATCTAATGGGGAAATGGGGGCATTACAGAAGAGGAAAATTTAATTTAATAATAATATTTGGACAAGTTCGGCGGGCCGGATTAAAAATCCCAACGGGCCGTACTTTACCCATGTCTGATCTAAACACTCGTGCATTCATATCCATTCTTCTGCGCGTTCGACATGTGTAAAATCATTGGTTTAAGAATATCGCATTTCCATTCGTGTTTATCTTCATGAATCCCATGTACAAAAAAAAGTGTGAAACAAAACTGTCAACGTTCATTAAATTGTACAGACGGTAAATGGTTACATCCCTTTATCGCGTGGAAAGTTTAGTTAAAAATCGATTATTTACACTGGCGTGGGCCTGCATGCGGATTTCTCTTACAACAATGTGCTCAACGGACACGCGTTGTGTACCTGTGTGCCCTCAAGTGTGCGACCTTGGAGCAGTACGCGATGCGTGCGTTCGCCGATGCGCTGGAGGTGATTCCCATGGCGCTGGCCGAGAACAGTGGCCTCAACTCCATTGGGGCACTGGCAGAAGTGCGGTCTCGCCAGCTGGCTGAGAAGAAACCCTACCTGGGCATCAACTGCATGCAGTCATCTTCCAAGGGTAAATAATGGCTGCTTGGGGCAGGCAACCCTCTATTGCGTGCCTGATTGATGTTCTGTTTCCAAGGAGACTCAAAAGGGGCAAAACCCAATAAAATTAATGTTGTTTTGTAATGATAGGGCAAAAGCTAAAATGTGCGCAATTAAGCGTGGAGAGATGCAGCCACGAGGCATTGAGACCTGTTTTTGTCTGATATGGAGTAATTGTATTGAAATCGCTACAATGTGTATCACTTATTTATTATTGATTTCTATCCATTGACATTCGTAAACAAATGTCGACTGACAATTTTATAAAGTAGCATTATAAACTTAGCTCTTTCGGTAAAGTCACGTTGAAGGGAAACAATAAAATATATATAAAACAATAAAATATATTGTTTCCCTTCAACGTGACTTTACCGAAAGAGCTAAGAATATAAATGACTGCAGTCACGAAAGCTTTAAATCAAAAGTAGCATTACTTTTGTAAAGGGTTTGTAGTCCTTTGCCAATTCATAATTAAGTAATATGAACAGTTTTCCCCCTAAAATATCAAGTCCTAACGTCTAAGAGTCGATACAGCATATCATTTTAGTTACTATTTCACTCCTTTGTGTGGTTTGCCATTTTGCTATCTCCATTTATAATGTGTAATATTTGTGGGTCTTTGTTGTTGTTGCAGGTGACATGAAGGAACAGCATGTTATAGAGACACTCATTGGTAAAAAACAACAGATCTCTCTTGCAACGCAGATGGTCAAAATGATTCTCAAGATCGATGACATTCGAAGCCCTGGCGAGAACATCGATTACTAAAATATCCACAGGCACCTGCCTCAGCTGAGCCCCCCCCCCCGCCCTCTCTTTGGTCAATGCTTTTCAGACATCCACAGCACGATGTTTACCTGTGGTCCCGTGATGATATAACAACGCTCATAAATTGTACTGCTCTTGCATGCCACCAAAATTAAATTGCTTAACGTGTTGATAAACATTTCTTGACACTTATAATCTTGCACTTGTGTTTCTTAATATCCGCGGTGTGAGACATGCCCATACACGTTTGTACCAAGGTTTTATGATGCATGTCTCCAGGATATTTTTTTGTAAGAGCAATAGCCTACATTTATGTAATGCAAAGTCAAATGTCGTTTTGGAAGCAAGGCTGAGGCACTGATGTTGAAATCTAAATACACCTTATTTGTGTCACCTCATTTGCCTTGTGTTTTATTTGAGCTGTGTGGTTATTTACTCTCCTTCGTGGGACCGTCAGAATATTACTGCTTACATAGGTATACTCTTTGGTTTTTTTTGGTAAAGTCACGTAGGTAAAATAAAATAAATGAAAACAACTAAATTAAATCACGACGTTTCGGAGGCAACACAAGCTTCCGTCTTCGGGTGGAAACCGTCAGCAGATTATTAACCTGTATATAATCTCGGGTATTTTAGAGCTCTCTTCACTTGATACAGCAATTTTGCTGTGACGGTTTCCACCCGAAGACGGAAGCTTGTGTTGCCTCCGAAACGTCGTGATTTCTTTTAGTTCTCATTTATTGTATTTTACCTATGTGACTTTACCGAAAAAACCAAAGAGTATGATACCTTGCAGTCACAAAAGCTTCAAATCTAGAATTACATCGGTATGTTCAGATAAACAACACGGATAACGGATACAACCATATGCCAGCTGTGTATGAAAATGAGTACGTAATTTTTATATTTTTAGATCTCAATTTTAGTTGTGTATGCAATAGATGTTTTAATTGATATTTGAAGTAATATGTAGGTTTTAGTCACTTTTAATTTCCGGTGTTTTGGTTCCAATTCCCAATGTATTGTATTATTGGCGCCATGTCGTGAGACAATCTGCTCAGAAAAAAAACCTGGAGGTGTATGCTTGCAATTGCAGAGAAATATGAACACAGGCAAGAGAACATTCAAATTCGATATTAATTTGAAAAGTGTCCTAAGAAGGGGTGATGACCGATGGTCAAGACTAGTAACGAGGTAGCAAGATAACGTGCTGAAGATGACAACCACCATGGAGATCGTGTGATGACAACTCGTGTGGAAGCTAGATCAACTATTGCAAGCCTGATATATGGTGGTAACGTGGGAAGACCTTGATCCGGAGGTGAATAGGTCATGGCTTATATTGACTCGATCATGAGTCGACAGTTGTGAAACTTGCAAGCGTTACATCACAGCACTTAATATGACCCAAGCTTATTGAACCTGCACATCTTCAGCCGAAACTACCCATTGGCTCATTCTGGTCAGTGGAGTTGTTGGGTCACAGATTTGCTCGCGGATTCCCAACGCTGCTGGGCTGCAAGGGAGCGAGGTGAAGACTATAGCACTGAGAATCACCCATTCGTATGTGGAGTTTCTCCATGTATTCCATTTCCTCCCACAACATGCTCGTTAAAAAGCAGTTGGGTAAACATCAAAATGCATGATTTTCTCCAATGCGAGTTGAACCTCAATGAGGCTTTTTTGTGCTGTTCGTGTGAAATGGCGTCCTGTGTGACCAGCATGCCTGAAGATCAAACTTGTTAATTGGTAATACAGGTTTTTTTTTGGGGTTAGATCGCGTAAATATAAATGTCTTTAAATCCGCCACAGCCAATTAGTAAGGTTTGTCACGTTAACAGAACATGCTAATTCGTTACGAGCACAGCACACCGGTGTGTTGGAGCAAATTCACAACATTGAAAAAAATATAATTGGACCAACTTTTTTTTATTTTGGATATCCCAAGTTCACAACACTTAGTATGTGTTCATTATTAATCGGCAACAACCTTTTTTTATACAATCCGTGTAAAATATGTACCATAACATTTCTCTACATTTATCTATATTTAAGTATTTTATGTTAAGACGCTCAACTACATCCCAGTCTTCAGTCAAAACATCTACCTGCTCAAAAAATGGAGCGTCTTGCATTGACGGTTCTGAGCCAGTGGTGGAAATTCCACATTGCAATGGCTGAGAATAAATCTGAAGGGCAAACCACTTGCCCTTCCACAGTGGAATTAAATGAATGAGCAACACGACTAGCGGTCAATATAACGTTCCTTTCTACTTTCCAATTCCCCATAATGCACCCAGATATAAAGCTAAGCGGCGATTTGAACCTGCATGGTGCTTGGATGGGTAACCATCACGCACAAACAGGATGCTATAGGTTTGTTGCTGGGTTATGTGGAGGGCAGCAGAGAACAGTGCAGCAACATCTATTGTGATAGTGTACTGTGCTGCTACGTCTGCTCCCCGCCAACACCAACCCGCACTGACCCAGCATGGTGAAGTATGGTCAAATAACCCCCCCCCCCCCCTCCACCAAGGCCTGCCAGGCATGTGGGGCGGTCCTCATCCAGCAGTGGATTGTCACGAGGGATTGAACATGCTTGAGGATAATATAAACATGAAATGTTTCCAACAATAAAAAAGTCCATTAATCAGGATATCTTATCCACGTATGATCAAATTGTATCCTTATAATGTAATCACTAGGCTCACAATTGCATGTAAAACAAAGTTGGTGCGTGTAAATATGTATACATAAGAGCATTAAGCCCGTGTGTGTACGTCCACACACTGCAGGGAAAAAAACGTTACACTACTTCCTATGACAGTTTATATAACTCGGGGGTGAAGAACCCTCTACTTGGCGAGGGTCGGATACAACTTTCACGTAGCTTTAGCGGTCCACATTAACACAGCTCAAGTCAACGCCTGCCACTTCAAGAGGCTTTCGCATTGACAGGCGTGACTGAGCGCGCTCAAATGATAAACGCGGCATCGTTGCCAGGTTTAAAATATTCCCCCCTCCCCTCCTTCAGTGAAGGATAAATGTCATTTGTGGACCGTTTCAAAGTGGGAGGCATCCACGTAGGCACGGGCTGGAAGAAATAAAGTTGTGGGCCATGTCTGGCACATGGGCCGTCCGTTCCCCAACCTCTGATAAAATACCATCTTAAGGTCTCAACAAGTGTTGAGTGATGTTGTCAGCATTGCGACAGCACATCTCTCTTGCAAGAGTGACCCGGGTTAAGCGTTAATGGAAAATTAAATGCGATTTCATAGTTTACTACACTCTAAATGAAAACGTAAAGGTGGCATTTCAACGGTGTCATTTAATTTTAATTTCAGCTTGGCCTGTCCAGTTCGGCGAGCTGCAAAATATTTCCATACCCGGCACACCACATCCAGTAGACCTCTCGTCATGGCTGTGGCTGTTTGTCACCCGCCACCTCCTCCAGTCTACCAGAGAACCGGAAAACATTAAGAAATGAATCTCTGCCGTATAAATAACGACGATCTTAGCTCATGGTAACGCCTGTTGTAACAAGCTTGTAGTAGGCGCCCTGCGCATCCATGAGCTCATTGTGAGTGCCCTTCTCAATGACCAGCCCCTGGGATATGACGGCAATCTGGTCGGCGTTCTGGATGGTGGAGAGGCGATGAGCGATCACGATGCACGTGCGGCCCTGGCGCGCCTGATCCAACGCAGATTGCACGGTCTGCGCAACAGTTTTCAAACACACGCACGATTAACATTAACACATTCTCATGGATTACGGTGTCAATAAAGTAAAAAAAAAACTATTTTTTTTATTTTTGGTGACTTTACCGAAAGAACCAAAGAGTATGGATTTCTGCAGTCACGAAAGCTTCAAATCAAGATATTTTTTTTTTATTTTACCTGGTAAGGCCCACTGAGCGATATAGCTCTTTTTTTAGAAAAGACTTGGCCACAATTTGATAGCTCAACAAAGTGGTTTAACATCACGTAGCAATTTATAGCATCCAAATACACAAAGCGCACGCTTCTAAATGTGGAAGGATAAACCAGCAGACCCGGAGAAAAATCCACTCTAAATATACAGGCGTCGGGGTTGGGATCGGACCTACGACCTCCTGTATACCAGGCAAGGTGGTTAACATCTCGCCACCGTGGCACCCTTCTACCAATCTGGTCACACAGAAACACCTACCTAATCATAAGATAATAATACTTTCATTTTATATAGCGTCATTCATGCCAACGGCATCTCACAACACGCGACCATTCATTATTTTTAAGGACTAAATCCCATTCACGCGGTTGGCTACGCATGGCGCTAAATAATCCCTATACACACCCACACACGTACACAGCAAGCAAATGAAAACCCCACTACGGAGCAAAATAAACAAATTAAGAAATGCCACCAAAACAAAAAGCACAGACAACAACAACAACAACAAAACGTTACCACGACAAAGAAATTAGCCCATTGGGTCTCGACATCCCAGATCACAACCCCAACTTCCCAACCACGTCAGATGCCGCACCCCACAACTAAACATTACCACTGGATACGCACCCTGTGTGGCCCGTAAGGAGCCATCCATTTAGTCCGTATGCATGGAGGTGGGGGAGGGGGTTAACCCAAATGCGTTCGCTTGCGTATGGGGGGTCTACTGACAATGTCCGTACGCATATGAAACGGGGGGGAGGGGGTGAAGCCTCGATAATAATTTGTCTACATTGGCCTTAAAATTAGTTAGATAGTCCGCCGGTGGACTATCGGTTTGCTTAAACACGTGAATATTATTAGCCCTTGATCGTTTCTGCGTGGATTAAATATCGTCCGTCCTATAGCATTCGGTGGGGGGGGGGGGTGTGTAAGAAGTACGCGTGCGTACAGGGAGGGGTCAAGTTTTGACAGATTTTTGCGTCCCTGCTCAATGGATGGCCCCTAAGCGCATTGCTGCGTGCGTGTGAGACGTCACCTGCTCGCTCTCGGTGTCCAGCGCTGACGTCGCCTCGTCCAGTAAAAGGATCCTGGGGTCGCGGATGATGGCACGCGCGATCGCCACCCGCTGTTTCTCCCCGCGTGACAGCTGCGCACCTTTATCTCCCACGTTGGTTTCATATTTCTGGCACGGTAACATGGAACAGATTTACTTATTCATTCATACAGATACGTGCGCTGTGCAAAGGCCAATTTAATTTTATTTTAGGAGAAATAAAAAAGACTGATTGTGAGATGCATGCTTGGAATTACATTGACAGACTGAGGATTAGAGAAAAGACAGGTTTATTGATGTCATCCAAACTATAAAAAAGTAAGTGGACAACTAAGCGGGCTTGGGCAGGACTAGGAAAGACGATGGTCGATCATGAATAATAATAACCGAGTGGCAGCAAAGGAATGGAACCCGTCCGAGAATACGTCCACTGGGGAGATGGAGCGATGAAATGAGATCAAGTGCAGGTGCTAGGCGGATTATTAAATCACAGGATCGTGGCGGCAGCTTGGGGAGACCTTCATCCAGCAGCGGTTTGAGTGTGGCTGATTATGATGATAAAAAAAAAATTGATGCACGTGTACAGTCCTTTTGGTGACTTAAATCATGAAAAAAATATATACTCTTGAGACCTTGGCTAAATAACAAGTGTCTGTAACCTGGGTTCAAACCCAGCTTTCACAGCAATGTCGCTGACATGGGAGCAGCCTGCCGGCCACGAATGCACTATAAATCGCGTAAAATCATTGCCGCAGTTTCATCAAGAGCACGATCTGACTGTACGTCGAACATCAAACCAGCGGACAGGAAATTAAGCTCTCTTGGTTGAAAGACGCACCGACAGCCTGAGAGGTGGAGAGACAGCACCGCAAGGGAGATATCGGCGGCAGGGGGGTGGGGGGGGGATGGCCAAGCCACAACACTTCCCGGGGGGGGGCAAGGGACTCGAAGTTACTGGAGGAGGACGTTACCTCGGGCAGGCCCATGACGAAGTCGTGCAGCTGTGCGGCTTTGGAGGCATTAATGACCTCTTCCCACGTGAGCTCGCGGAAGTTGGCACCGTAGCGAATGTTGTCGGCAATGCTGCAGTCGAACAACACCGGCTCCTGAGACACGATGCCGATCTTGGAGCGCAAGAAACCCACGTTCACCGTGCGAGAGTCCCTCCCGTCGATCAGCTGAGAGAGAGAGAGAGATCACAGTTATGTCGCGGATGACGCAATGCAAATTGATGTCGATGATGCAAAGGTGCGCGCGTGTGCGTTCGTTACTGGGCGGCTTGACTGCGCCGCGATTCATCCGTTCAAATGCGTTCTGAGAAGAGTCATAAAATTGAAAATTGGGATAGTGCATCGTGGGAATTAGGCACAACTTAAATGGAAAGTTAAGATAAATAGTTTACGGAAAAGCATGCACACGCGTATGGATTGTGTTAGGCTTTCCAACATGTGGTTTGTCTTTGGAATTAGGATTTTGGAAGCTGACCGGTAGTCAGGGAAAATTTAACTTTGCTCTCGATTGTGTCTGCATTTCTTTGGGCAACCCTTTGACAAATGTGGCCACTTTTCAATCGGGTAATTCCCCAATAGCAATACAACTTTATACTTCAGGTTGATTCACATTGGATCATCTGCATGCGAGTTAAAGTATCACCCCCCCCCCCCTTTGCAAAAATATGGACGGACAAAACCAACGCACAAACACCTTCACACTGAAATTGCGTCCGTTATCGAACGTGAACGCGGATGAATGCACGATGGGAAATTGGCCCCACGCGGAGGTCATCTCTTGGTCCACTCACCACTTGGCCTCCGTCTGGATCGTAAAAGCGTTCGAGGAGCTGCACACTCGTGCTCTTCCCACAACCGCTGGTGCCCACGAGCGCCAACGTCTGCCCAGGCTGAACGCTCACCGAGAGCCCGTTGAGCACCTGCGTGTCTGGCCGGCTTGGGTACGTGAACGTACAATTGGTGAACGTCACGTCTCCACGGAAGCCATCCTGCGCAACGCGAAACGACACCGTGTCATTGACTTGCATGCGGTGCTAAAATAAGTCATTCACAGCCCCGTGCCATTCATAGTGATCTGTCAGTCCAGATGCCCGCCACCGACCTCCCAAGGCACCATAGTGGGTTCAGTTGAACCGCCTCCAGTGTGTGACCGAGGCTGGGTGCGGTGCTTCTTATGAACATCGATGGGACGTCGTTCTGCTACGTGACAGGCCGCCGTGTGACCGCGGGGGAAGCGGGAGACCGTGGCACCCCATCGTCTCCGGCTGTGAAGTTCGTCAGGGCGTGCCGGGCGGTACTGGTTGTTGTTGTTGTTGTTTACCCTGCACGTGCTGGAGGTGGCTGTCGCATGGCTCTGTGGCTACGTTGGCTGACGTCCACTCACACGTGTAACATTGACATACGTATGTATTCGTTTATTTATTTACTTTTCTATGTGTTTCTGGTGCTGTAACTGTATCAAAGCGTTCGCTAAATTAAAAAAAAATATACAGCCCTGTGTTCGATCCACATCTGGATGAAGCTTTCCTGCGCCTTGTCGGTCATGGCGGATGTTCGACCATACTTCACCACGCTGGTTAGCTCCGGTAGGTGAAGGGCGGCCCAGGACCGGTTCAGATATCACTCGTCAATGATATCAGCTACGGCCCGGAATCGAACTCAGTTGGCTATGTCCGTAGCGCAGTGCACTAGCCACTGTGCAATCACTCCACCAAAATAACCTTACGTAGAAATATATATTTTTAAAATGACAATCCAATTCTCTGCTGAATGAAGACCCCCCACAGCCTGTTAGTTATGACGGGTTTTTTGGACTATACTTCACCACACTGGTCAGTGCGAGTTGATGAACGAGTGGGGGGGGCTGGGGCGCAGGATTATTTCAAATATTGCTCGCCACTTACATGAGCCACGGCTGCGTATCGCACTCAGGTTAACGACATCGTAACTTACGTGCGCTGGGCACTGCAACCGCTGCTCCAAATGTTCATACCATACACCCGACACGGGCGATGGGCTCAGTTGGACCCTCGAATTCGCAAGGCACCCTACCGCGAGTCAAACGCCCTCAACCCAGACGACGAGCACGGCGTAATGGCTCTGACCGCGACTCACCCACGATACTCCTTTGTCTGGAGAGGAGTCGATGGCCGGAGTTCGGTCGAACAGCTTGAAAAGACGAGCTGCCGAGATCTTGGCCTTGGCGTAGTCGGGGGCGTAGGACGACGCTCGGCCTAAAGCCGTGCCGCTGAACACCAGAGCCGAGAACACCCTGCCGCGAGATTATTGGAAGATTTTTTTTAAAAAATTACAGTCATGTCATGGTTTTTTTTGTTGTTATTCAGCCACAATGGAGCAATTTCATTGAATACGCCCCCCCCCCCGCCTCCTCCACCACCACCACCACCCCTGTCTTTGTCCATACAGCAGCATTTAACGACGAAATGAAACGTGCAGATTTATACTCTGCTAATGTTTTTCCCAGGTCCCTTGGTCAACCGAGTGGCCCCGGAAAATATTCCGCGCGAGATAGAAAGCCTCGGGGTGGGGGGGAGGGGGGGGCGGCGGGGTGGGGGTTTACGAGGGTCATCGGCGACGATCTTTTCCCCGCGGACGAGTCCGAGGGCCGGCGTCACGCGTCAAAGCCCGAGCGGCGGTCGAACCGCGGGGGCTTCGCTCACCTGAACACGAGCGGGAACTTCAGCCCGTCGTGCGCCACGAGGAAGCCTCCGTAGCGGAAGGAGGCCGCGTACGTGAAGAAGATGACGCTCTGCGAGAAGCTGAAGGTCGCGCCGAAGACGTTCGCCTTGCGGATGGCGGCGCGGTGCGGCACAGTCAGGCTGTCCGTGTACTGCTTCACGAAAGTCCGCTCCTTGCCCAGACCGGCCACCGTCCGGATGTTCACAATGCTCTCGTTCACCACCTGGGCGCGCGCATTGCGAGTCCGATTGTCCTCCGCACGGTGTGTACGTATATATATTCATAATAAAGGTTTGTCGTTGTTGTTGTTGTTAAACTGATGTATGTATTCTAGATTTGAAGCTTTCGTGACTGCAAGGATCCATACTCTTTGGTTCTATTCGGTAAAGTCACGTGACTTTGCCGAATAGAACCAAAAGAGTATGATGTATGTATGTATATGTATGTTTACATATTTGCTACTACCACCAATATCTGTATTTGCTACAACCACCATGTATGAACTTCTTTCGCGCCGTACGTAGCCAACCGTGCTAATCGGAGGTGCGGCATGGTAGGACAACAAACTAAAACACACAAACAGCGCAGTTCTGTGCTACACTGACACAACACGGCACGTATCACACTCACACTTTGCACTGTTAAGTTGTCTGCAGGAGCTCCCAGCACGCGGAGCAAAACGTCGGGCTTCACGCCGAACAACACGCCCTCGCGGCGGGAGCCCTATGATTGCGAATGTGGAGGAGTGCAACCCCGCTCGCCACCTAACCCACCTGGGTCCGGTGTTAATCTATCAACACGTGGTGAAACAGGAGCACGGTTTGTATGTGTGTTGAACTCCTATCGCACCGTACGTAGCCAACCGTGCTAACTGGAGGTGCAGTGTTGAGTCTATGGGCAGTGTTGAATCTATGGGTAGTGTTAGTCTATGGGCAGTATGTATGGTGAACTTCTTTTGCACCGTACATAGCCAACCGTGCTAATCGGAGGCACAGGGGAAGACAACAAACTAAAGATTAAGAGGTTTCAATCTAGACTTTAAAAAAGCATAGCTCCAGTGGCTTCCTAATATCGTGCCCGGACAGAGCTCATCATTTGCGCAGATGCGGTAGAGAGGAAAGCAGTCGACCTTCCCAATCATCAAGACCTCAACGACGTCCCTTGTCGTCGCATGAAGTCACGGCAAGCCCTTTTGGACCCATGCGCTTAACCTTAAACAATGCGAATTCAACTCCTGATGAAGCCTGGAGAGCTGAATGAAGTTCAAAAGAACTCACAAACAAACACCTAACGCAGAAGAAAGACCCAACGCAGAAGAACCCTGGGTTTGATCTTTCACGAAGCTCAGGGTCCACCCTAAATCCCATCAGCACAAACCATGGCAGATGCGGATACCTGATGCACAAATGGAAAATTAACAACTCTCCAGTGTGCGACTGTGGTCATCCAAAACAGACCGTACAACACACAACAACGCAATGCCCCCCCAATCCGCAAATACGAAGGAGACATCACAGCGATGAAAACTTTGCTACTCCCGACACGGTTGTCTGGCTTGACCACCTGAACGTGAAATTGTAAGTTGTAGCTCTGCATCTACACCAGCAGCCGTACGGACGAAGAAGACATTACAACCCGAGGACACGTCACAAGAGGTCCGCCGCCGGTCGGATCCCTCCGCACTCACCTGGCCGGCATCCTCCAATGCCTCCTTGTCAGTGTTGGCAAAGCCTGTGAGCAAGCGTGCCTGGAAGACGCCCGACAAGGCCAGCAGCGGCAGGAAGCAAGTGACGACGAGGCTCAGCTTCCAGCTGTAGTAGAAGGCGATGATGAACGCCGACCCAATGTTCGAGATGGAGTTGACGATCATGCCGATCTGCATGCCCGCTGCCTGAAAAGAAGGAGACATCCTCAGCCATGTGCAAGCGGCTCCGGAGCCGCGTGCGGCTCTTTAAGGGACCGCTTCGTGAGACGTTATTTAATTCAGGACCACCGTCACGTATTCACCACCGCACAGTGCGTTGCGGCTCTTGATACATTGAGGTTTTTTTTTTAATTTCTTACCAAATTCGAATTTTTTTTACCCGAACCCTGTTCATGCGTAATATCAAAGAAGGTGGGGGGGGGGGGGGGAGAACCACACGTGCACGTTGATTGGATTCCGCAACGCTTTCCAACTTGCGATTTGTATTTAGTCGCACAGAAGCCGACACGGGGTAGTTGGCAGGGTAAAATTAAGTTGCGTTACTTTGGTTTGTGTATCCGAGCTTTTGGAAGTGTCTTGAGCTATTTGTCTAGTTTTCAATAGGCTAAGTTCTTAATAGCATCACGACATTATATCACATGCACTTTCATATTGAATCACCTTTTGGAGTTATAGAGTTACCTGATACTGATCAAAAAGAGTCATGGGCTTCATCAGCGAGGCTTGCCGAGGTGAGCAGGCCCAACAGTTACAGCTAATGCAAAAAAAACACTTTCAGCCCAAGTGGAAAAGCATTACGAAACATTTCGATTTAAAGCTTTCGTGACTGCAAGGATTCATCTTCTTTGGTTCTTTCGGTAAGGTCACGTAGAATGAGAATAAAATAATAAAATAACACAATAAAATTCTCACGACGTTTCGGCCACAACGCAAGCGGCCGTCTTCAGGTGAAAGGTACAGACCTGTCTGTACCTGTCTGTACCTTTCAGAGATAATTTTATTGTGTTATTTTATTATTTTATTCTCATTCTACGTGACCTTACCGAAAGAACCAAAGAACATTACGAAACAATTAGAAAGCTTTTCTTTCAGGTGAATGTTCTTTGACAATCTCTTGCGCAGACGCTCGCAGGACACACGTGTGAGTCACGCTGCCCCGCGAGACATCCCAATGGATTAATTTTCTCTTTCACTCCTCCCCCACGACATGACCGCCGACGGCACCACCAGGGAACACCATCTCGGAAGAAATGACCCCAACGGTGGGAACAACAACAACAACAAGAAGAAGAAAAAAACATTCTGGAATGAAATTCGAACACGTAACAAATCTTCACCCCTTGCACTTGCGACGCGTCGGTAGCGAGGCGCGTGGTCAGGGCCCCCGGGCTGTTCTTGAGATCGTCAAACCAGCCCACGTCTTGGCGCAGCATCGCCATAAAGCCACACCGGCGCAGCCTGCGCGTCAGCAGCTCTCCCGACTTGCTGAACATGTAGCCCTGCGCACGTGCGCACGCACACACACACACAAAGATAAAGACAAAGATCCCCCGTATAGCCTTAACAGACTGTAGGGGCAAGTGCTGTTAGCGAGCACCTATGAAGGCCGGCACGGTACACGAGGGGGTGGGTGGCCAGCACCACGCCCGACCGCCTTTGTCTCCCTAGTGGCGATGTTTACACACCGCACCAGGTACTCATTTGAGGCTGAATCGACCTAGGGGAGGCCCGGCACCGGTTCAGATAATCGTCACCGGTATTGGCCGTGAGCGGGAATCGAACCCCGGTCGCCAGGTTCATAGCGCAGCGTAGCGCTAACCGCTACACTATCGCTCCCCACTACGCACACACGCACGCGCACACGCGCGCACGCACGCGCGGGTGCGTTTCACTCGCCGAGTGAGAGAGAGACATGCACGTAGAAGGGAAACAATAAAATAATAAAAATATAAAACAATAAAATTCTCACGACGTCTCGACTGCAACACAAGCAATCATCATCAGGTGTGGTAATAATCTTATATAAGCGCGCAACTTCATCTATCTGTGATGCATTTTCGGTCGTTTTCATGCAGGGGTCGCTGCAAACCTACGCGCCCCCTGCATGAACGACGGAGGCGCAGGGACAGACGTTCGATTACGTTGGAATCGATCTGCAGACGGCGGTCTTCTCGCACGGCTAGCAGCTCAATGTCGCCTTATCTCGATCCCGCAATCCCAAACAGGTGAAAGTCCGCATAGAACCGAACCGCCAGCAAGGCCATCTACTTAACGACGAGAAAAAAAATTCACACGAAATGTCGTTTTCAATTAAGTCTTCCACATGTAAAATTATATAAGCTGTTAATGAAGAAATAAAATTATCTAATTCAAAACATAATACAATTCAAAGTTGTTTCATTTTAAAACTTAAAAACGTGTGCAATTTTTTTTGTCGTGACTTTCCTGGCCGAAGGCCGTAAATGGTCGTGAGGTGCGCCACGGGCGCCCCCGAACAACCCCTAGTACAAAACATAATTAATAACCACAATTTAAGATGCCCCGCAAAGACGTCGGCTTACCTGCAAGAAGTACGTGACGAATGACACGATGCCAATAAGGACAAAGAGGAGGCAGGTCAGGTTTATCATATTCCTCTGTTCCTCCTCAGTGGGCAGAGTGAACGTCTGTAAAGTCACACGCAGAACACAGACGATAGCCGGGGCCTTAACACGTACGTTTTTTTGCTCTATTCGGTTGTTTGCGTGACTTGTTTTTCGACTTAACAGGCGCGAACTAAAATAATAACATATTCTTTGGGTCTTTCGGTAAAGTCACGTAGATAGGTTTTCTTTGAATCCAAAGAATATGAATTCCTGCAGTCACGAAAGCTTTAAGTCAAGATTTAAAATCATAACATTTCAGCACAATCAGGGTAAAATTGAGGAAAAGGAGACGAAGATGGTTAAAGCAGAGGCGTGACGAGCTATTCTCCTCCGACAAGAGAGACCTCTCACCCCGAGGATTTCGCTAAAGAGGATCGCGAAGACAGGCTGGATCCCTCCGTTGATGGCCGCCCCCACCGCCCCGAACACCATGTAGGGCCACTCTGGTGCGTTGTACTTGAGAATGCGAGTGACGGGCGCGTGCTCCTCATCCTCCTCCTCCTCGTCAGTGACCTTGTTGACCTTCACGCCCGGCTTGGAGACGGACGGCTCCGTCTTCGCCGTGCTTTTTCTCCTGGAATGCACCTGGTCGGGAATTCCAAACACCGTTTGGCGCGTCACAATGCGCGGATATTTAAATAGCAGCCGTGGCCAGGTGGCTACGCTGCCGCACGTGGCTGGCAGTAATCCAGCGCTGTGGAGCCTGTCGGGCTGAACGGTTAATCGATTTCAAATCGATTTCAAATCGATTAATCGCAATTTCAAACAATGCAATTAGCAAATCGCAAAGGTTGCGATTTTTAGCGATTTGAAAAGTCCTATTACTTTCTTATTGGAATTGTTTAATGCTGTTATTATTATAACTTTATTTATTTAACTCAACAATTGTTTTATGTTTGATTGTTCTATTTCATTTAAAACATTTGAATAAATACATGTTGGAAGCAATTCATATCTTTTAAGTTCTCATCCTTGCATTAGAATATATAGAGCAGTTCATATGTTGATGGTATCACGTGGTAATGCTCCATCACACGTTTTAAATCTATTACACAGTGAATATTGAACTGAAGCTTGACTTAAAAAAATTAAAACGCAAATAAAATCGCAATATCTGTCAGAAAAATCGCATTGAGATATTTTCCTCAAATCGTTCAACACCGCACCGGTGTTGTGAAACTCCCTTACCTGTGCGTGTTGAGGTGGCAGACTCTGGCTCGCCAGGAGAAGGCGGTACAGAAAATGTGGCCGTCTGGAACGCTCTTCCTTCCGATATTAGGAAGCCACTGGAGCTACGCATTTTTAAGTCTAGACTAAAAACTCGTTTGTTTAGAAACTGATTTTTGTGTTCAGTTTGTTGTCCTTCCCCCGCACCTCCGATTAGCACGGTTGACTACGTACGGTGCGAAAGAAATTCAAAATACACACGCACGGCGCGTGCGTGAGGGGTTGCCTCAGTATGCTCAACTTTTCTCCCACGTGTGTAAACAACTAATTAATTTGCTGAAAACATCTTAAGCGAAAAGGAAGCATGCCAGAGGTGCTCGCTTATGTTTACCTTGAGAGAAAGTGGAACACGTGAATTACAGAGCATACGTTACGTTAGAGACGTCAAATTGACTGTTCAGAAATATAAGTGGGTTTGGACAGGGCATGTCTGAATGCGGGCCTTCTGAATCCATCACTAACATTTAGGATTAGTTTGTTGTATGTATGTTGGACTTCTTTTACACCGTACGTAGCTAACCGTGCTAATCGGAGAATCGGGGGAAGAACAATCAACTAAACACAAAAATAAGTTTTTATAAAAATTCGTTTTCAATATATATTGTTGTTGTTCCCCCACACCTCCGATAAGCACAATTGGCTACGTACGGTACGAAGTTCAACATACATACATACTATCAATACTCTTTGGTTCCTTCGGTAAAGTTATTTTCTACCTACGTGACTTTACCGAAAGAACCAAAGAATATGGATTCCTGCAGTCACGAAAGCTTCAAATCAAGATTACATACGATCAAGTTTTCGTATTCTTTGTTGTTGTAACTTTCTGAGCCACCCCGAGTGGATATCTATGAAAAAAGAGCTTCACAGCTCAGCAGATTCCTCCGGTATAAAGATTATGATTCTCCGGTATAAAGATGACGAGTAGTCTTTTCTTGTTGTTGTTGTTGTTCCATCATCATATCCACAAACGGCTGCGTGCTTTTGACGGCGTACCTCCGTTTTCCCATTTTTTTTCAACTTTAAAACTCCTCCCCATTTTTATTTCATTTTTGCTGCAACCCAAACGACGGAGGCGGCGGCGGCGCCGCGACACTTTGCTTTGCGCGCAGCTTCAACAATGGAATGCGTACATCGTCGCCGGGGAGACTCGAGGCCATGGGCGTGATGAGCGAAAGCCCCACGTCGACTGCTGGGTTGGTGGTGGACCGCGAGCGGTTGCGCAGAGAGGCTCTGTGGGGGGGGAGGGAAACGGGCGGCGCGTGACACACAGAGACGAAGACGACGACCCAGTCGTCGGGGAGAATTCTCGCCGCGGTCAAGCAGCCCACTGAGCTCTATTGCTCTGAGCTCATCATGCGCCCCAGCAGAATAATGGGGGGGGGGGGGGGGGGGAAGACGGCACAGCAGCATCGGTTTAGCACGTCGGCTTTCGCGACCGATATTATTCGCAACAAAGGTTTTTTTGGGGTTTGATTGCGGAACCCAAAAAAACTTTTAAATTAATATTGGTCGCGGATGCCGACCGTGTTAAACTGTCGAACCTCTTTGGGGAGGATATTTTCCTTAAAACTGTAAAATTAGAGACACTCACAATTCTGGCAAATCGCCTGATTAAGCTGGTTGTAATCACGAGCGAAACGTCGTACTCAAATTGTAAACGTTGTGGGTTTACTCTCCAACACACCCGTGTGCTGAAGTAGTAACTAATTGGCACATTTTGTTCACGTGACAAACCTTACTAAAAGACTGTGTCAGGTGGTGGTGGGTTAACGACACATTTAAACTCACGCGATCTGACCCCCCCCCCCCCCAAAAAAAAAACCCACTGTTTTATGAACAGCAGCATCAGACAACACCTACCGGAGGCTGTTTTGGTAACTTCCTCGACTAAAGGATCGCACCTTCTCAATCGGCTCTTCGATTCTGTCTTCATCTAAAGCACAAATAACGACAAATCAACAATGAACTCAGCACCACAGTGACCCGAACACTAAAACCATGGCACTGCTGTTTTGAGTAAAATATGTTTAGGCATTCTGCCGTGGCATAAAGGTCTGCACGCCAGACTTAAAATCCAGGAGTCACAAGTTTGATTCGATATCCTGGCCTGGTGGCTGTCCACCTAGCGCTACACACGGGGGGCACCACAGTTAGCCCATCGGCAGGTGAAGTAAAGCGTGGTTGGGCTACTCCCGGTCTCTCCCAAGACGTCTGGTCATCGTGGAAGAGTAGGCCAACATTCGCTTCACACAGCGGTTTCTGCAGAGTTCCCTCTGGTGGGAGGCCCCTCCCGCCAGCAGCGGCGTGAGCACAGCAACTCCCGCACCTCCGATTAGCACGCTTCGCTACCGTGCCGGTGCGCAATAGGTTCAACACGCGTACGGTACACACGCATGCGCAAGCCGCCTTCAGCGTTAACTTTCAAATCGCGTGCGTACCGTCGCCTTTGGAGCCGAGCATGTGGTCGCTCTGGCTCTGTAGCGTCACGAGGGTGAAGTAGACGCCCTGGCGGGCCATGAGGGCCTCGTGGGAGCCGCGTTCCACTGCGCAACCGAGCTCAAAGCCCACGATGACGTCGGCGCTGTGGATCGTCGACAGGCGGTGAGCGATTGAGATGGTGGTGCAGCCCTTTCGCACCTGTCGGGTTGACACATTTACAATCGGCGTGAGGAACCGGCGTTGGCCGCATCCACCCCCCCACCTTCGCCGCGTTGTGGACGGAGATGGACCGACTGCAGAGGTTTACGGGTTGGTTGGCTGTGTGTGTGTGTGTGTGCACGTGCGTTGAACGTCTTTCGCACCACCGCACGTAGCCAGCCGTGCTAATCGGAGGTGTTGGGGAAGGACAACAAACTAAACACGTAGAGCAGCTCTAAAGCAATGAGTTTTCAATCTAGATTGGCTGACCAGACGTCCAGAGTTAATGGAATATAATTGTGACGTTAGAACTTTGAAGCAACAAAATCGGTGACCTGAATCCGTAGTTCCTTAAAATGGAACGGGGTGGCTAAGAGGTTAATATCCGGGTATAAGCACCTATAATTAAAATTATTTCTTACGTGTCGTGAGTTGATAGTCTCAGCCGAGTTACCAATCACTAAAAAAACCATAGCATATATATCAAAAACATATGTATCTATGAATTCCAGCTGTTAAATTTTAAACATCGATTTTGGCTGCTATGCCACAAACATCTCTGTCGCAGACAGTGTGGCTATGTGTACCCCCCCCCCCCCACCCCTAGCGTGTGGTTAAAACAGATTCGATTACACAAGTACTTCTGTGGTATCCACCTCCGCGGGGACGTTCCCTAGCACAGGCGATGTGCCATGAAGCCGCTTCGCAACGGTTCCAAATTTGCCCGTTTTCTCTTCTGACAAGACTTCTAAAAGACAATTAAATACAAATCAATGTCCCGACCTTGTCCAATGCAGACTGCACCACCGCTTCACTCTCGTTGTCCAGGGCAGAAGTGGCTTGATCGAGGAGGAGGATACGGGGGTTACGCACTAGGGCTCGCGCGATTGCAATGCGTTGCTTCTGTCCTCCGCTCATCTGCCCACCGCCCTCTCCCACCATCGTGTCAAATTTCTGTTCAGCCAAGTAGAGCAAGACAAGGCAAGTGACTGGCAAACTTTATACCTAGTAAAGTCATACATTACAAATCACTGGCACACTTTATACCTAGTAAAGTCATACATTACAAATCACTGGCACACTTTATACCTAGTAAAGTAATACATTGCAAATCACTGGCACACTTCATACCGAGCAAAGCAACACATTACAAATCACTGGCACACTTTATACCGAGTAAAGTAATACATTACAAATCACTGGCACACTTTATACCTAGTAAAGTCATACATTACAAATCACTGGCACACTTTATACCTAGTAAAGTCATACATTACAAATCACTGGCACACTTTATACCTAGTAAAGTCATACATTACAAATCACTGGCACACTTTATACCGAGCAAAGCAACACATTACAAGTGACTGCCACACTTCATACCGAGTAAAGTAATACATTACAAATCACTGGCACACTTTATACCTAGTAAAGTAATACATTACAAGTGACTGGCACACTTTATACTGAGCAAGGCAAGACAGTACGAATGGCTGAAAAACATTATACCAAATGAAGCAATACATTCCAAGTTATTCGCGCACATTATTTCAAGTAATGATTTATGTTCTGAACGGCTTGCTCAGGTTTGCACAACGGCTATACCCAGTATCAGAATTTTTATTAAAACTGCAGGAGGAATCCGATGAGCTATGAAGCTCCATTTCACAGATGTCCAGTGTGGGCAGGTCAGCATGCTCCAACATAACTTCCCGTTCACACAAAATACAAACCAAATAAATATGCTATGAATGTATTACACGCTTTAGTCTGAATAAGTGCAATACAAATCTGTTTGCAATTTGCACCTTGTCGAACCTTTTTTTATTAATGAATCTTACATTCTCCAAAACAAGATTTTAAAAAGGAACATTATTTGATTAATTGCACCGGAAAAAAAAACGTTTCGCTGCACAAGGGTGTAAAGCAATTTAACGCAATTAATCTAGATATTACATACATCCTGCATTGAAACATAATACTAAATATGCATTTTATCTACCAAACACAAAATAAAAATGATTAATTTTGTGCTTTTTATAATATCCATTTCTGTCGTACCAGGACCCACATCTTAAGAGAGGTTCCTTGCCTATAGCATCGAGCAATTCACCAGCAAGCCTGACTGCTGATGAGACACTGTGTGTCGAAACTGGTCGAGTGTTTGCTTGCATTGAACCAATGCCGTTGAAATTAGGAAGTACTTTATATTTTTTGTATAGTCAGGGATATATGAAGAAGTAATTATATATTGTCTGCTTATTTATTTTATTTACGTAGAACAAGCCTCAGCCTCGTGACTCTTTTTCAAGAGTTTCCCGCACACTAAGAAAGTTTTGGAAATTACTCATGAATGTTTATTTATTTGTTAGTAGGTTTATGCTCCATTGCTTGACGAAGGCCTCCTCACGATGTGTCTGTCGCGAGGGGCTATTTGACCATACTTCGCCACAATGGTCCCAGAATCCAGATACCCTCATACAGCAGTGAACAGCACATTCACATCAACACGTACACATGTACACACGCAGGGCCGGATTACGGGACGCTGGGGCCCTAAGTCATGCCAAGCTTAAGAGGTCCCATCGAGGAATTCCTGTATATTTTTTTCATATCCATATCAGAATGAAAATAACCGTTTTCGAGAGCATTCTTTCCCTTTCTCCTTTATTTTTCAACCGATTGCGTAAAACTTTAAACTTCGCATGAATGCTTTTTTCCCCTCATAGTTAGAGGGCCCCTCATGATGCGAGGCCCTAAAGCCAGTGGTCTTCACTAATTTATAACTAGAGCAGTGTTCTTCACTAATTTTCAGAGAGGGGGGCCACTTTTTGCCGATTAGACATCATCAGTGCGAGTGGCCACCACACATTCGAAACCATTGGGGTTTGACAGCATCACGATGGTGATGGGGGATGTTTTCACCATTTGTGTATTATCGGGGACCGTACATCAGGGGGCCCACACTAAAGGCCACGGCGGGCCACCGGTGGGCCCGCCGTGTCCTTGCAATAAAGAACACCGCCCTAAGCCGTGAACTTACTTATCTAAGGGCCTAAATCCGGCCCTGCAAACACGCGTACGACACATTGTCGCGCGGCCGGGTGTGCTCGTAACGTAACGTAGCGTGCTCGCGTGCGCGCGCGTGTACATGCGGGAGCTCCATGATGAAGTTGTAGGCGTTGGCCCGGCGTGCTGCCTGCTCCACTTCGCTCACGGTGACGTTGTCGCGGCCGTAGCGGATGTTCTCCGCGATCGTCGTGGCGAACAGAATGGGTTCTTGCTCCACGACGCCGATCAGCGACCGCATCCAGCGCAGGTTCAGCGAGCGGATGTCGTGCCCGTCCAGCGTCACCTTGGGTGGGGGCGCAAAGTCGGACGGACGGTTACGCAGGCGCGTGCGAACGCACTGAACTCCTTTCGCACCACCGTCGCGTGGCCAACCGTGCCAATCGGAGGTGCGGTGTTGAGTCTATGGGCAGTATGTATACTGAACTCCTTTCGCACCACCGTCGCGTGGCCAACCGTGCCAATCGGAGGCGCGGGGGAAGGTCAGCAAACTAAACGCATAAAGCCGTTCTAATGAATTGAGTTTTCAATCTAGATTTAGAAGTGCATAGCTCCGGTGGCTTCCTAATAACGGAAGGAAGAGCGTTCCAGATGCCCGCAGAAGCGCGCCTAAAAGCGCACGAGATGCGGTGACCGCCTTTGTTCGATGGATCATCAAAAGTAGCTGCTGCGAGGATGACCGGAGCATGTTGGACGTCCTGGTGAGGGATTTCATCTTGCAAAGCTTTTGCCACGCACTACTGCTACCACTACCACTGACTGGAGAGTCTTTATTTAGACCGGCGGAGGAATCCGATGAGCTAGGGGTGGGCCTGGTGCGAAAGAAGTTCAACATAAATACATACATCTACAAACACAACAACAACAAAAGCGATATAAGAGCAATGGTAAGCAATACATATAAATAAAGGATAAAAGAACAAATTTCACAAGCACATGAATTCCCGATGATTTGTCAACACCAAACGCAAACTTGGGGCAAGGCAGAAAAAACAACAACAACAACAGTCCCAGACCACACCAACACAACAACACACAGTCCCTGTGACGCCAAGGACAAATAATTTCCATTAACAGGGCGCTTTGCTGAAATCTCTGAGCATCTCAAAAGCGCCTCACATCTAATCTCAGCCATTCCAATACGCTGCGTTAGTCTCGCCAAGGGGACCCCCCAGTGGCAGCTGTCCCTTCGTGGCACAAAGCAAACACAGCACCCGCCTGTAAAAAAAAAAAATCCATATTCTGCCAGTAGGGTGCAACGTTACTCCGTGGTTTTTCTCAAGCAATTTATGGACAACTTTATGTTTTTCTCAGATTTAGACTGCCCAATCACCGGAGTCCTTGAGGGCTAGAAAGTTAATCAGGTCTAAAATGACATCAGCATGCGACTAGAATATAATTTGCATACATAATTACAACGTCGACTTTTAACAACGCACGATTCGCGCCGTGCAGCGTGAGCGTAATAAATCGACGATGACCGCTGACTCAACGACGAATCGTTACCTCGACAGCGGTTAGCGGGTTGGAATGGCTGGGATGCATTTATCTGGAGTGGGTCCGTGGAAGGCAGCGCCCTCTGTCCACTCACCTTGCCCTCCTGGGGGTCGTAGAAACGCTGAATGAGCTGCATGGCTGTGCTCTTGCCTGCGCCGCTCGGTCCGACAAAAGCTGTGGTCTCTCCTGCGTTCACCTTCAAGTTAAATGAATGCAATGCCTGTGGAGAGGAGCGACAGAGAAAACAGCATTTCCACAATGTATTATGGCCGTACCATAATATTTAATACTAATAAGAACATGCATGCGGTGGTGGGGGGGGCGCTACCAGCTGTGTGGGTTTGACCCAGACCATCCGGAAATTGGAATCCAAGTTCGGGTGGAAGGGATTCATTTGATGTTTGTTACCCTTTACGAGCACAGCTGGGATTATACCTAAGCTGACCGAGATATATGTCTGGGTTTGGTCTACAGTGGAACAGGTGGAAACCCGAATGCAGGCCTCCTATTAGCGATGGATGATGAGGGCAGCTTGCTGGGGTTAGCAGATAAGGAGTGCTCAATATTTGCTATTACAGAGGGTGCAGTGCGGTTTGTTTCCCAATGTTAAGGCTGTATCTTAAAGCATGCGTATAATAGGTAACAATTGTCACGCGCGATGCAAGTGACGGAGCACAAATCATCTTCTCACACAGAGACCCAGGGACTCGCGTAGAGACCCGTAGACTTACATAGAGACCCATCAAACTTATACGGAGATTCGTAGACTTGGACAGGGACCTATAGGCTCACACGGAGATTCATAGACTTATCAAGAGAATCACAGGCTCGCGCAGATACCCTCAGGATCACATAGACACTTCACCTTTCATATGGTGGGGAGTGGATGAGCAACATTTATCCGTTCATGTCGAGTTTGATGAATGAGAATGAGACATTGGACGGCGTCATGAGCAGCCGTGTGAATATCTGAAATTCTGCCGGTTGGGTTTTAGAATGAATGATGGAAGCGGGCAGTGGTTTTACTCCGTGGTCCACGGCTTGAGAACGGTGGCTGCGATATTCACAAGGAATGTGGCAGACAGCCGCATCTGCTTGCGCGACGATCTGATGCGGTTTATTGCGAACAAATGACTGGGTTTATTTTTATATGAAGGTTAATTTCAAGTGGCAGGGTTGAGCATGGATAGTGCTTGGATCGGTGACGACCATGCAACACACAGGTTAGATGGTCACAGAAGCGCAGTGGTACCTGCTAGACCATAGAGGGCAGTGCATCAAAACCCAATGGAATGCCACTGAACTGTTTAAAAGACGTACTTTTATGGGGAGTGGTAGGTAGCATAGCGGTTATCACGCTGTGACGTACTATCAATTCGGCGACCCGAGTTCGATTCCTGCTCACGGCCAACACCAGTGTCGATTATCTGAACTGGTCCTGGGCATTCCCTAGGTCGACTCAGCTTCAAATGAGTACCTGGTGCGGTGTGTACAACATTGCCACGAGGGAGACAAAGGCGGATGGGTGCGGTGCTGGCCACCCACCCGCTCGTGTGCCGTGCCGGCATTCATTGGTGCTACTCGCTAACAGCACTTGCTCTGATAGCACTGCTAAGGGGCAATCCATTAAGTCCGTATGCAAAAATCTGTCAAAATTTGACCCCTCCAACCCTCCCTGTACGCACGCGAACTTTTTACACCCCCACCCCGAATCCTATAGAACGGACGATATTTAATCCACGCAGAAACAATCAAGCGTTAATGATATTCACGTGATTAAGCAAACAGATAGTCCACCGCCGGACTATCTAACTCGTTTGAAGGCCAATGTAGACAAATTATTATCGAGGCTTCACCACCCCCCACCCCGTTTCCTATGCATACGAACATTGTCAGTAGACCCCCCATATGCAAGCGTACGCATTTGGGTTAACCCCCCCTCCCCCCCCTCCATGCGCACGGACTAAATCAGTTCAGTTCATTTTAGTTCATTTATTAGGTATAGCCCTGTGAGCCATGCGGCTCTTGAATCGGGTGCAACCGCAATAGACAAAAACATGAACAAGAAAACATCTTAAAGTGGATGACCCCTAATGCTATACGGGGAATCTGTGTCTTGGTGCGTGCGAATGATAATAATTTCGCACCGTGAGGTCGAGGCGAGTAGGGTAACTGAACTTCACGTTGTGGAACTCGATGTCTCCCTTGACCTTCTGCAGAATGTTGCCATCGTCAGACATGCAGTCGATTATTGGCTCCTGTTGAACACGAGAGATCATCGTTACAGGAATTATTTTGCAAGCATTTTTTTATGCTGGCTTTTTTTTAATTGAAACCTCTATGTAACAACGGGACCGGCCCAAAGTTGAGCTTGAATATGCGGAGGGTTATAAAAAATTATTATCAGAAAAATGGTCATGAACATGGAAGCACTTGGGTGGAGACCAGTGGAGTCAACATCGGTGGTGCAACTGCACCAAGGGCCATGGGCCATGGGCCAGAGAAAAAGAAAATCGAAATCAGAAAGCTTTGACTTTCATTTCGTCAATGGAGATTTTTTTTAAAAATTGATTTATTGGGATTTTGGCTATGAGACAATGCACATAGAAAACGTTTAAGTATAATGATATATTTCACGGTTACATGGAAGCCAATTGGACTTTTCCCTATTCCATTTAGAAAATTGCATTCGCATCTACGAGTCAATGTTTCACATGAATTGAACCACTCACCACTGTATAGTAGTGGCGGCAGTTGTTAGTTCACAGCCTGGAGACCTGACCTCGAATCCAGGCCACGGTCAACATCAGTGGCCGAGCGATATCTGAACCTGTCCTGGCTACCACCTATGCCAACCCATAGTGACCAGCGTGGTGAAGTATGGTCAAACAACCCCATTGTAAGGTAACAGGTTGCCATAGGCTGCTGCGGTGCTACATGTTGGGGAGCAGATGGCTGTGCAAAAATATATGGCATTTAATAGCCCCTGTGACAGAATATTTCATATCGGAATCTTTTAGACTGGAGGAATCCGATGAGCTATGAAGCTCTTTTTCACGCAAGTCATGTAGACACGGCGTGGGGAGGTCTTCATTCCGCAGTGGGCTGACACATGGTTATAAATTATTATTCTTCTGACGACGATGATTATTATGAAACACTCACCCGGTCAATGATGTTAAAGACATGGGTAGCAGCTCCACGACCGGATGCAAATGCTTCAAGACAAGGGGAAGCCTGGCCCAGGTTGATGGCCCCTACGAGCACGCCAAAGAACACCTGCCGACGGTCGAGACAAACTCTTTGAGAGAAGGTCGACTCAAGGCGACCTGGAACATGATCGTACCAAACGGAGACGAAACACGACCACCGTTGAAGCACCCCGGGGGGACATCAGTGGTGTAGCAAGTGGAGTGTGCAGTTTCAGTTTTCAGTTTCATTTATTTGGTATAGCCCTGTGAGCCATTCGGCTCTTGAATCGGGTGCAACCGCAACAAACAAAAAACAAAAACATGAACAAGAAAACATCTTAAAGTGACTATGTGACTGTGCAAACAGAAAATCCATGAAAAAACAGCAAAATATTCATGAAAGAGCACTGTACACCAACGCTGTGTGCAAAAATCCCAGTGGGATGCAAGTCAAACAACAACAACAACAACCACAAGACAACTTAGATTAAGGCCATCAGCCTAACTCCGTACTACAACAAACAAACATAGCCAAACCAAAAAACGTTTTCGAAATCACCAAAATAATGTGCAGGCCGTGCAACTGCACCGAGGCTCACAGGTGGGAGAGGCCCAGGCTGCATGCTACGATGACATTGACGGGGTGGGGGTGACATTGAACAGAGGACCTCCTATGTCATCCCTTGCATCAGGGACCATGTGAGCCGCAACGTCTACGCCATGGGCATAGACCGAGGGGCAGGCCTAGAAATAATTGTTGAGATCAAAATACGAAAGACTGTGGAGCGGACATGGAAGACGATGGCCGTGTGGACAGGAATGAGTGGAGCGGAGCGGGCAGACAGACCTCCTATGAGTGGGAATAATACCAGGCCGAAGACGATAAACTCTGTATCGCTCATAAATGTGTCTGTTCCAAGTAAAATTAATGTTATCGATAATTCAGTGTACAAGTATAGATCGAGTTATAAAGAGTATGACATGCATAAGTTAAATGCGTTAAGGTGCCATTGGCAAAATAAATGTTATTGTGCTGTGCGCGTGAATGGTTAATAATAAGTCTTAATCAAACAGTCACATTTGACCCACTGCTGAATCAGATGTCAACACAAGGGGAGACCTCAATGTACTTTAGTCAGACAACCTAAATATTAACTTTTTGGAATGCAATATCGATCTAACTACCTCCACACTACCTAACCGCAGCAATACTGTTTTTAAGACTCTCTCTGTAGACCTCAATATTTCTGAAAAGGAAAAAAAAGACATTTGGCCAGCACCAAAAAGACCCTTTCCCTCCATTGCTTAAAATCTGCATCGCACGAAATTTCCACGCTCAAAAATTAAGGCGATGCTGATTGTCTCTTTTTGAAGATGTTGTTGCACCACGAGTTCGTTCCACAAGGTCAGAACGGTGAATCGTTCGTTTTATTTGTCCGTATTACCCAATAGGTGCCACAGTAGATACAGTGCTTAGGTCCTACGAAAACTAAAGGGCATATTAAAAAAAAGGTTTCCTTAAATTTTTATTTAAAGCTTTCGTGACTGCAGGGATTCATATTCTTGGTTCTTTCGGTAAAGTCACGTAGTTTTCACACCTGATGATGATTGCTTGTGCTGCAATCAAAACGTCGTGATAATTTCATTGTTTTATATTTTTATTATTTTATTGTTTACCTTCTACGTGACTTTCTAGAAAGAACCAAGAATATAAAGGTTTCCTTGTTTTTTTGTTTGTATGATAAAAACAATGTAACCAAGATATCTGCTTGAATGTTTAAGTGGCTGCTCGTTGAAATTCCTTTGCAGTGGTTAAGAGTCGTTGACTCGTTGCAAGTGAGGCGTATTACACCTGAAATAACAAATATTTTTAAGCTTTAACGAAAGTAAAGCAACACATGGCGCTCGCCATGTGGTCGTCCTGTCAGAACGTTTAATTTCATCATCATCATGAGACCTCCTTTGCCAGTACCAAAATATAATAATAGGGTTTTTCCCCTTTTTTCTGGCAACAAAACTGAAACCTTTTTACAAGGATTCATGTCTGCATTAACCACAATACCTGCAGTCAAAATGCAAACAAAAAACATACTATGATAATATTTGCATTGTCCTTGAAACTGATCGGTCCAAACCAAGGGACAGCTTTCTTTTGAGCCTCCACCCAATCGGTGCTCGACCAGATGACGCCAAAAGGCGTACAGCTCAAAGACTATTATTATTAACGTTCAATTTGTTTATTGATGAAAATGAACGGCATCCTTTTACAGCTGCGTCATCCGATATCATGATCATAGTGAAAAAAACTGTTGAAGAAATTTGTCGCTTGTAATATTTTTAGGCTGACCTTGTGTTTTTTTTTCCTTCATCAATAATTTCGAATTAAATCTGCTTATCTGCAGCACACAGAGCGGTCGCGTCGAATTCGGGCACAGACTGAAAAATGAACGTTTCAGTAGCGACATCTGTCACTGCGGCTGGACGAAGTACCGCGTGAGACAAGCGAGTGACAGCGGCGGTGAGTAGTACCAGCTGTCGAAAGTTATCACTGAAAACCTACGAAACAGAAGTGCATATTGAACGTTAATGCGGCCCTGATGTGGATCTGGCATCACGACAACTCATGGTCACATTCAGCACGACCCGTGCAAGATTTTCTGGCTAAGCGCAACGTTCCACCGGTTCCTCACCCACCATGTTCACCAGATTTGTTCCTGTTCCCTCGATTGAAAGGCACCCTAAAAGTAAAGAGATTTCAGGATGTTTGCCCAAACCATCATCCAAAATGCAACTCGAGACCTGAAAGCCATCCCCCGAGAGAAGAGGAACAGAGATGCCTCGATACGTGGCAGGACCGTTCGAATCACTCTCGTGTTCGATCAGGAGGAGGCGACTTTGAAGGATATACATTTGATTAGGTATGTCGTCCTGTAGCTTTGCCAGCCTCCATCCATCCCTGCACGCCACAAATCCTCCCCCCTCTCCCCTGTGATCTCCTACAGCCAAACTCCTTCCCCCCCGTCCCCCCTCCCGTGCCTATATAAAGCCACAACAGTAGATCATTTTTACTCACCTGAAGACGGACGCTTGTGTTGCGACTGAAACGTCGTGTTTTCTTTTATCATTTTTTATATCTACGTAACTTTACCGAAAGAACCAGAGAGTATAAATTAAAGTAGTCCCGGTACTTTTTGATCAACCCTCGTATGTTGTACTTGTGCAATTTGAACGTATATACTGTGAATATTTAACGTAATAAAAAGTTCGTTGCTTCTATTGTTACGTTGTAACTTTCTGACCACGTGCCCCTACTGGACATGTGTGAAAAAGAGCTTCATAGCTTATCGGATTTCTCCTAGATAAATAAACATTCTGAGTATGGTAGCTGTCTGTGGACTGTGAGCGCCTGTACCTGCAAAAGTGTCCCTGGGCTGTATTCTTCCTCTTCTAAGACGAGGTTGGAGCCATACCAGAAGGCGAGTGCATAGCACAGGAAGATGATGAACCACATATATCCTTGGAAAAAGCCCAGAATCATGCCTTTCCTGATGCCCCACTTCTGTGCCATCACCAGATTCTTGTCGTACCTGCACGCCAATTAACTCAAAATTATTATTGACATCATAATAATCGCAAAATCTTCAAGTTTTTTTCCATTACAAAACAAATGGAGCAGTACATCTTCTCACTAGACACATACGACCTGGCCACAGATGATAGCTCAACGAAGTGGCTTTTAAATTTTGATTTAAAGCTTTCGTGACTGCAGTAATTCATATTCTTAGTTTTTTCGGTAAAAAAAAAAATTATGCAAACCGACACACCTGATGATGACCGTTTGAGTTATGGTCGAAACGTCGTGAGAATTTTTATTGTTTTATATATATTTTGTTATTTTGTTGTTTCTCTTCAACGTGACTTTACCGAAAAAAAAAACTAAGAATATGAAGTGGCTTTTGTGGAATATTATAGCAGCCAAATACTCTGAACGCACGTCGATTCTAAATGTGGAGGGGGAAAACCGGAGGACCCGGAGAAGAATCCAACACGGCGAGAACATGCGAAATCTAAATATACAGCAGGCATCAGGGTCTGCATTTGAACCCACGACCTCCTGTATACCAGGCGAGGCAATTAACATCCCATCACCGCGGGGCGCAGTCGTGACACGCAACCTCCGAGACCTGGTCTGCCAATATCCCACCATCTGGTCTTAGGTCTTCCCATTGGTTGCCAGACTTGTGGAGCCCATTAGTTAGATACGTACGTTGAATTTCTTCAGCACCGTACGTAGCTAACCGTGCTAATCAGAGGTGCGGGAAAAGGACAAAAAACGAAATGCAAAAAGCAGTTTCTGAATAAACGAGTTTTCAATCCAGATTTTAAAAGTGCATGGCTCCAGCGGCTTCCTGATATCGGAAGGAAGAGCGTTCCAGACGGCCGCGTAAGCGCGCCTGCGTCGTACGCACAGTGCCTACCTGTTTTCTTCTTTCTTCTCTCCACCAAAGGCTGCCACGGTGCGGATGGAAGACAAAACCTCCTCGGCCACGGCGCCCGCCTTGGCGTACGCCTTCAGCTCTCGGCCAGTCATGCGCGCCACGAACTGACAGCAGCCGGCAAGAGAAAAGGGAAGGTATTATAGGTGGCACTCAAAATAGTCAAAGAGAGGGAGATGTTATGAGAATAGGTTTGACCCTTTCTGGCAATAAAATAGGTTATTAAGTCGACCTAGGGGAGGCCCAGAACCAACATAACAAGAAACCCTTTTTCCCCTCTAATTCGGTAATACAGGGTGCTTAAAACATGTTTTAACACTTATATGGGACTATCGTTTTTAATGGATAACGAACGGAAAATACACTGTAACATGATACCAAATGTAGTATGTTAATAGCTTCAAAAAGTCAAAGAGTCTCCACTTGTTCGCCATCGCTGTCAGCACATTGCCTGGAATCTTCTCCAGCGTGGTACTGTTGCAAATTCTCTGAAGTGTTAACATTGTTTTGAAGCACCCTGTATGTCAAGAGCGGAAATGCACGTGAACATAAGGAAGCGGCCCTCCATGAATAGGGCCACCAAGCGGTCCTTAAATAGCCTCATGCGACTCATTGAAGCCGCGGGTTGCGGACCCCCTAACAGTATTACAGGGTAAAATCCATCCGGGTAATTGCTCGGTTATATATTTCTGCTGGATTGCAGAGCCCGTTGAGGTCGCAGTGACCCATAGCCACACACAAAGACCCACAGACAAACACAAAGACCCACAGACACGCACAGAGACCCACAGCCACACACAGACCCACAGACATACACAGTGACCCGCAGATACACACAGAGACCCACAGCCACACACAGACCCACAGACATACACAGAGACCCACAGATACACACAGAGACCCACAGATACACACAGAGACCCACATGCACACGGCGAAACACACACGGAGCGAAGCTCCTCCCCCTCCTCCTCCTCAGATCTAGTGTGGGGTGGGGTGAATCATTTATGAGTTTCTCCCGAGTAATTTCTTCCCATTTCCAGCCCTGAATTTATTACAGGAGACTGCAACCTTTTTTTATAGACGGCAACTCGTGTTTTGCGATGAATTGAGCGTCCTGCGTGAACTCAGCACTCACGGAGCCCATGAGCGCACCACCCAGGCCAAGCAGGGGGCTGACTGCCAAGATGACCAGGGTCAACTTCCACCCGTTGAGAAAGCCGATGAGGAATCCGCAGACGAACGTCGTGAAGCGCTGAATAAAGATGCTCATTTTGTCTGCAATGGCATCGTTGATCTTGTTGATGTCACTGCGAACACAAGGGAGATGTTAGCTGCCTCGCCTGACCTACAGGAGGTTGTGGGTTCGATCTCGACCCTGACGTCCAAAAATTTGGAGTTTGCGTGCCTTTCTTCCCGTGGTTGGTATTTCTCCGGGTCCTCTGGTTTTTACCTCCACATTTCTAAATGTGCGTTTAGACTATTTGGTTGCTATGAATGTCCACATTTTAAGCCACTTCATTTGGCTATCATTTGTGGCCAGGTCTCTTCTTAAAAAGAGCTATATATCTCAGTGGACCTTAGCTGCTAAAATAAAAAAAAATGGTTTTAGTTTTGCAAAAATCACCCGGTTAGCATCATAGACCGTTGGCACAAGAGCTGTTAGTGAGCACCTATTAAGGTGGTGTGGCCAGTACAATGTCCTGCCGAGTTTGTCTCTTCAGCTCTGATGTTTATATGCGGTTACAGATATTTATACACCGCAGGGAGAGAGAAAACACGCGAACTCCCGATATACAACAGGAATCGTCAGAGTCCGGGGTCGAACCCTTGTTTTTCCTACGTACCAGGCAATTGAGATAACATCTCATCGTCACTGCAAAACGATCACGGTAACATTATTATTAAAATTATGCCCGTACTACTGTGTAAATATTCGCGGTTGTACTGTGTGTATATATATCCGGTAATTGTTCCTGAACCAAAATTATTGGACCTGAAAAATCTCCCAGCATGTGGAGTGAAACTTTGGGCATTAAAGCAGCACAACTCGGAAAACATTCGGATTGACGTTTTACTGGCGGTTAAGATGGAATCGGCGTCAGTGGCCAAAGTGTTTTGGCATCCTTACTCGGATATACGCGTGTTCAGTTCACCAACGGAGTTCATGTCAAACCAGCCGATCTCCATGCGCATGATGTTATGGAAGAAAGCCTGGCGGATTCTGAGCACCTGCCTAGCTGCGGCCATCACCCAGAAACAGATCTGGACACACACACGCACACACAACATAACCACTGTCCGTGAGTGGTAAAATTACCTGATTTCTATGCAGACGGTTGTACATTTATCTGCTGATGTTCCCAGTAATAAAAATACCCTGCTATACAACCAAACATTGCATCAAACAAAACTTGATTTTCTGTAAAGGTGCCTTTCTTAAACCAAAGCCCCTGTACATAAATTATAATTTAGCACGTAAGCTTTCGCGACCAATGTGATTCGTAAATTAAAAAAATATATATTAGATCGCGCAAGGAGTGCGATTACTCATGAACACACCGTGATAATGCTTTATTAATTGTGTCAGGTGGAGGAGGCAAATACGGCACACGCATTTTAACCGAGCGACGATCTGCCAACACCGCGCTTCTGCCTCCGCAGTGGTGGATTATAGGCGGCGTGCATAGCCACCACCGCCCAGCCGCTGCCAAAGCCACGCATGAATATATGCTGGACTTTTTTCGCACCGTACATCGTGAAAAAAAGGCAAAGACTACGCTGGTCTCGTTGCAAGAAGCAACACTAAACGTATGCTCGAGTACTCGATGGTTTTATCAGTGCAGGATTCCTTCGTTATACGCGAGGGATACGTTCCCGAAGATGCTCGTGAATAGCACATTTCTCGGATAATGGTATTGGCACAAAAACCTTTATTTTGTATGAATTAATTGAAAATAAATACGTAAGGTTTCCCTGTCATTACTTTATCCCATCACCTTTTATCTCTCATCACTTTCTCTCTCTGTCTCGATGCACAAACTTGCGAACTTGCTATGGTGGAGAGCAAGTTCGTGAAAAACGACGGAATCCTGTAAACAGTTTCCACGTACCTGCAGATAGCCCACCAGCAACACGACACATCCAATTCCCAAGTAGTAGAAAGCAAAAGTAGTGAGCTCAACCTCGATGTCCGTATGCCTGGTGTAAAAAAACAAGCAACATCAACAACAACGCACAAACAATTAACATAAATGTTAACAAATGCGTGCATTTTTTTGTCAATCTTTTTATTTGTATTGGTCACAATTCACCTGGTCGCAATTAATGGCTCAATTAAGTGACTTGTCGCGTCGAAATGTACAGCGACCAAATACTCGGAACCTGCTGCTGTAAAAAGGAGGGCGTGGAGTGCGGTGCTAGGGTTGTCACGGTGTCTGGGTGTGACGAGGAGAGATCAGGAATTGAGTGGGTACTAGGGTTGTCACGGTGTCTGGGTGTGACGAGGAGAGATCAGGAATTGAGTGGGTGCTAGGGTTGTCACGGTGTCTGGGTGTGACGAGGAGGGCCCAGGAATTGAGTGGGTACTAGGGTTGTCACGGTGTCTGGGTGTGACGAGGAGGGCCCAGGAATTGAGTGGGTACTAGGGTTGTCACGGTGTCTGGGTGTGACGAGGAGAGATCAGGAATTGAGTGGGTACTAGGGTTGTCACGGTGTCTGGGTGTGACGAGGAGAGATCAGGAATTGAGTGGGTACTAGGATTGTCACGGTGTCTGGGTGTGACGAGGATAGCTCAGGAATTGAGTGGGTACTAGGATTGCCAGGGTGTCTGGGTTTGATGAGGAGGGTCCATGAATTGGCATGTGTTGTTCGGGTGACGGGAATTGATTTGTGCCGACATCCCCTACCGGTATAATAGTGTATCGCAGTAAACTGCACGGGTTTGATTATAGAGTGAATGCCGAATGAGAAATGTGTCTTGGGTAATCTGCAATTAATGAGATTGTACCCAGGTCATTCCTACAAATGCGACTCATCCTGGTCACTTGAGTTATTCCGTGATTAATCAAAGTAACTGTGAACGTACTCATCTCACTCAATCATTCACCCACTTACCCCACCCCCCCCATAATCACTCATTCGTTCACCCAATGGCCCACTTGTTCATTCATTCATTCATTCCCTCTCGCAAATGAGGTTATCCCGGTCTCTTGCGTTCTCACCTAAGTTAAACGAATACACTTGAACTTGAAAGAGTGGGACTCTGGCACCTGAGTTTGGATGCTTGAAAACCAGATGACATAATCTGCCCAAGTTGTAGCGGTCTGTTTGGCCTCGCTGCAGGAACGAAGGTCGACACTTCTGCATGCGCACCGTGCCCTACTTTAGTCCATCCAGGCAGAGAGTCGATCTCGACCGCATCTCCACCATGGTACCGTCGAGTCAGCCATCCGAGGAACTCGCGGATTCGTCAAATCTGTGGATGACTCCGGCCTAACCTTGCCTTCAGGAGGCCTTCTACAATGCGGTGGAACGTGGACATTCTGATTGGCGCTACGAGGGCCTTGTATGTATGTATGTATGTTGAACTTCTTTCGTCCCGTACGTAGGCAACCGTGCTAATAAGAGGTGCAATATTGAGTCTATGGGCAATGTTGAGTCTATGGGTAGTGATAGTCTATGGGCAGTGTTAAGTCTATGGGGTAGTGTTAAGTCTATGGGGTAGTGTTAGTCTATGGGCAGTGTGTATGTTGAACTTCTTTCGCACCGTACGTAGCCAACCGCGCTAATCGGATGACGAGGATGACGTGCTTGAGTTGGATGCAGCGGACTTACCCACAGGCGGTGGCGTTGGGGATTGTCGTCCCGTTGACCCATACGATGCTGTTGTTCAAGCACATCTTGTTGGGGTCCTGCAGCTCCTGGGTCTCCAGGTCGTACTCGATGAACGCGTCGGCCATCCTCCCAAACACGAGGAGCATGAAGGGGAGAGCGGCTCCGTGCACAATGGCACCGAGGGCGCCGGTCACCATCAGAACGATGTCACCCCCTTTGGCAAAACGGAACTGGCGGTGGGCGTGGGGGTGTTGGGTCAGACGTGATAAAACAGCGGATTATGGTCCACGAGCCCAGGCCAGACGTTTCGTTTGTCGGTACCGTCCGAAGGACATGGCCGTAAGTCAAGAGCCAAAGTGATGTCCTGCTCAGATGAGGCTTAACATTGATACCACCTCCAGGGGCCATGCTGTTTTGTGGGTACACCTTTGAACATCTTGACTTTTGTATATTGATAGTCATAGGCATAGACTTGAAAATGGTGTGAATCAATGAAACAAGTTTTACATTGATACTGCTGGGAAAAGAAGAGTGGGGGTGGGGGGGGGTGATTTAAGAAAGTTGCTCCATTGTTTCGACTGCCTCACCGGGAGATCGAAATGGCATTATCCAGTCCAGCGTGCGACCAATAACCACACAGTCGCATTCCTATGTCATGACGCAACCTATTTTTCATGAGCGTGTATTACTTTACGAGTAACCCGGATAGGGCCCTCTCCAAGTTTTTTATCGGATTTTGGCATGACACTCCACGGCAAGTGAATTACTTGCTTCGCTCGCAATTGGGCTCGTAGATTCGTCAGTGTTCGGCGACCCTTTGAGTGAAAACAATTAATCTCCAAGCCATATTTTTTTCGTGGGCACACGTTTTCAACATCCATTAATTTTGTGCGTTAATAGTTACAGGCATAGCCTCGCATACTTGTCACCCCTTATCGGTGCCTACCTTATTAAAGACAAATTCAGACCGTATTGGTCATCCCGTGCCCTTTATAAATCTCAACGTTAATCCTACAAAGTCCCATCACAAGGGAGAAACACAAACAGACTGAATAATGTTTTTTGCCCGTATTGAAACGGCTGTACGCCGTATGGACCTAAAAACTTAATTTCCCTGTACAATAATACGGGGTAAACCGTATGGGTTGACACGGTATGGCCTCGACAATACGGGGGTGTCCATAAAACGTGACTCGATTATCAAAGGATTATAATTGGGAAGCAGTTTGATCAGTGTGGTTGAAATGTTGGCAGGGGATGATTCCTCACGTACTTCGACAGAACGAGAGTGCGCGATAGCGCAAAGGCAACAGTGCATCGAGCACAAACAACAGAAACTCAACACATTCGTCGATGACAACACCCATAAAAGAAAAAAAGAGATACAATGCAATCGGTGATTATGTTTGCAAGATGCCATCTGCTGTGAGTAACGGCCATTATTCCTTTTTTGCACTTAAGTATTTAAAACGTGAAATAGGCCTGAGTGTTCTGAATATTAATATTACCACACAGTAACAATGCAGCATTTTATATCGCAATGTCCGTTGTCTTGCGGCTCTTACCAGCTGACATAAGCCCACTTGCTTGAGTTCAGCCTCCTCTTTTTTCGTGTCCTTTTTGGCCTGTTCCCTCTTAGTCTCAGCTCTGCGTGTGAAGCAAAAAAAAAGACACGGTCGCAATTCGCCAAATTGTCCAATGCAGGAAGACGCTCTCTAAAAAAGGGGGCGCTTTTGAGATTTAGTGAGGCTTTTTATGGATGCATAATTGGCATTTTCAAAATAATGATCATTATTATACCTATAATGGAACGGCGAGCTCACACAGGGCCGTATTAACCACAAGGCCACAGGAGGCACTGTGCCTAGGGCGTACGAAAACTAAAGGATCTCCGAAAAAATGTGACCACGTTATACAAATGTTTTTACCAAGATATCTTCTAGAATAAAAAAAAATATGTATATTGCAAGGATAGGCACAGTGTATATACAAAGAGGCAGAATAATGTCAATGAGAGAGAAATTAACACCAGAAATGAACTTTTTAAGATTTTTTCATTGCAGTTTTTTGCAAAAATTTCAAATTAAATCTGCTTATCTCGCGGTACACAACGCGCTCCAATCGAATTCGAGCACAGACTAAATAATGAACGTATCAGTAACGACATCTGTCACAGCGGCTGGACGAAGTACCACGTAAAACAAGCGAGTGACAGCGGCGGTAGTAGTGACATGGGGCAGCAGTAGCAGCTGTAGAAAGTTATCACTGATGACCTACGAGACAGAAGTGCCTTAGGACCTACAAGAACATTAATCCGGCCCTGAGCTCACATCCAGGTCCCTCTTACAATAGAGGCAATGTTGTTTCCGTGTGTCTCAATCGGTTTCATTCACGTGCTGGTCAAGTAAAGGGTTAAAGACTGTCTCAAGGTCCTCCCTGCCTTGGGTGATCTCCCCGGCGCTCCTCTAAATAACCCTGAATGTGAGATGCAAGTTCATTACGGACGGAATATCCTTCTAGATTGGCGGCATCTGAAGGCCCAAATCAATACGAAAGAAAAGGTCAACTATAATTTGAAAAATGTGTCATGCAGTGGCACTGAGATGCGTTCTTCCTGTTGATGACACGGTGACTTGATGAAGTGTGCTCGTGCGAACCAGTTATTATTTACGAAAAATGATAATTACGCGCGACTCTGTCCAACGGGCAGTATAAATTAGAACACCCAAGCTCGTAGATCGGAAGGTCACGTGTGGTGGGGTCTTCTTCTTTCGTATGGATTCATAGCAGCAGATTACAGATGCAATTTTAGATTATTATTTTTTATCCACTCAATTGTCGGTTCAGACGCAGAGTGGTTCCAACCCGTTCCGCCTTTAAAGGAGTGAAGATCGCAGCTGTTTACAATGGGGTCGATGATTTGGGATTCATAGCCGCACTCGCAGGCCGCCGAATCTTTGATGCGCCATTTGTGGCATCATCATCAGGTGGCCGCATTGGCCACGTGGCCCGGTCCTGATTCGGTTGATGGTCGACCCATTGGCGGCGTGCAAGGTTGAAACCGAGAGGTTCGATGGTAGGGTCCCGTGGTGGGGTAAAGTGTGGGTACTCCCACGTCTGGCCAGCGTAAGAGATGATGCCAAATTTGCCCTCTCGAGGGAGGGCCTCTCTAAAGCTCCCTCTTCGTGGAGGCCCTTCTGCCAGCAGTGGCATGGGTCGCGTTACATCTTGGCAAAGGGAGCAAACGTAGCTGTGTAGAAGCGATATAGAAAACAACGAGATGCGCTGAGAATTAAACGGTACAAAAATAGAGGAATTTAGAGTATAGTCTAGGATTGTATTAATATCCGGCATCGTGACAACTCATTGCGTATGTGGCAGCAAGGAGAGGGCGGATAGGAGCAGTGAATCCATTACATGCCTAGTGGGCAACCAATTCCACAACAACAACAGCAAAATATCTTACCGTATTATTCATGTTACACATCCTACCACTGTATGTTGTGTCTAAAATACGTAGATGTTTTCAAATTATTTGTAGGTTGAGAGTAATCGTTGGCTTTTTTTAAAGACATGTTTGCTTCTTATGCAATAGCTAAATTATTTTGAAAAGTCACGCGCTAGACCAAAAAAGCCTCCGTCCGTCCGTACGGGAGACCTTGACCTCACGTCAAGGTTACATCGGCATTTTGCGACCCCCACTGCCACTGTGGAGCATATTATTACGTGCTAGGGACTCTATGAGATGATAGGACAATAGTCTGAGTTCATAATTGGCAATAAGTAACGACAAAGCAGTTATAAGTGACTCAGAATTGTGCGCAGTTGCGTATACAGCCCACGACTTCCCTGAAGGCATTCACCTTCAGCGAGTGCGATGCCGGTTCGAATTTGACCCTCGATCGATGGCTGCGCCATCGCCACACTTACTAACAACTCCTCTATCATTTTTCGTTGCTGGAGGGGTTGCCCCCCCCTACCTGAAAATCCTGGCTCGCCATTGGGCTTGGGCAATGCGACAGTCAACAACGTCAAGCATGTCCAGTCAGAGCAACTGCCCAGTCTGCTAGACAATATGTAAAATATTTAATGCCGAGTTTGGAAGGACAAAAAATATGGATTAAAACTAAACTATGTTTTATTTGACCAGGTAAGGCCCACTGAGCTATATGTCTCTTCATCAGAAGCAACTTGGCCATAAATGATAGCCCAATGAAGTGGATCATCATGTTGGTAATGTATAGCAGACAAATACTCTAAACGCGTGTTTCTAAATGTGGAGGGAAAAACTGGAGGACCCGGAAAAAAAATCCACGTGACCAAGTGGAGAGAGAGAGACATGCAAACTCCAAATATACAGCAGGCGTCAGGGTCGGGATGGAACCCACGACCTCCTGTATACCAGGAGAGCTAGGTAATGCGAAGCCTAAGTTATTCATTTTTTACGTACGTGGAGAAGAGCGAAATGTTTTTTTTTCAAACCACACGTAAAACTCCGTCTGAGATATTGGGTTTTTGACCGTAGTTCACCAACCCCTGGTCAGTGCGTGTTGGTGGAGAATTGGTAACACAGACGTTGGAACATTGAGCAGTCCAGCAATGTATTTTGCTGCACGGCTCTCTGCTGACAGCGTAGCACCGCAGCAGCCTATAACACCTCGTATGCATGCATGGTGGTCACACATGCAAGCCCTGTCCAGTCTCAAGTCTGTTTAGCTTCGGAAATCTTAATAACTCACCGGTGCTTGCACAAACGGATTGACAAAGCGTAAAAAGACACGAACCAAACTGGTCACGTGAGAGTGTGTGTTCATCAATATGTATGCACGACATCCATACCTCTGTCCATGAGATAGGTCTGCAAATAGAAAAAATATATTTAAAGATAAATATAAATGCGTTTTTTTTTCTTTCCCGAACAACATTGCGGTGCATTGTAGTACCTCTAGTGGCGGCAGGGGGTTCCAAGAAGACCCATTTACATACGACGATACGAACTTGAAAATAAACGATTGCCACGCACGCCAATTCGATGCACGTGTCACGAGTGCACGATCCCGTTTGAGTAAACGAAGGCACGCGATATCCGTTACGGATTAGCCCGTAGTGTTCTTCTACAGGGAAATTGAGTTTTCAGGTCCATACGGCGTACAGCCGTTTCAATACGGGCAAAAAAATATATATTTGTTTGTGTTTCTCCCTTGTGATGGGAGTTTGTAGGATGAACGTTAAGATTCATAAGGGGCACGGGGTGACCAATAAGGTCTGAATTGGTCTGTAATGAGGTAGGGCACTGATAATGGGTTGACAGGTATGGAATGCATCGTCACAAAATATCATCCTGATTGTGCTCTATAGGCGTTACGTCACGATCAGTGCATCACTCTACACTTGAGAATTGCCCGCAGAAGCGGAGATTACAGAACTGCTTCTGAGATCCCTCTTAATTAGAGCATCGGGGCAACACTTCCCCACCAATCCTGCTGTAGAGAGAGGGAGGTTCATTGTATAACAGCCTAACTAATGTGTACAACTTTCACAGCATGGATTTAAATAAAGTGCAGAACCAAATGTAATGATTATTTTTAACGTCCATAATAGAGATTATTTTGGGTTATATCGCGTAAATATAAATGTGTCGTTAAACCCGCCACCACTCGACACAGTCAATGAGTAAGGTTTGTCACGTAAACAGAACGTGCCAATTAGTTACTCGTACAGCACACCGGTGTGTTGGAGAGTGAACACACAACATTTATCATTCGAGTACCTTTTCAAGTCATTGACAATTAATCTGAAAATAAAAAAATTACGTACCGTTAGAGTATCCGTCTCCATTAAATGCACTGTTGTCACTTCCTGTCGATTTGAAGCTTTGTAAGGTCACTGAGTTTGGCATGATTATCTTCGTCACTTGCAACCCCTACGCAAGAGCAGACACCCACACAGAAAAAAAGAACATTCACTGCATTCGTCACAAACGAAAAGTCCAAGTGATTTCCTGCTCAATTGAACATTGAGGTCGTGGGCATTTTATCGACCCTAGAGGAATAATGGGCTGAGTCAACCGGCAACCAGGACTTCAACTGACGACCTTGTTGAATAGCCAAACGTACACATTGAAGGTACGGTGGAAGGACAACAAACTAAACACAAAAAGCAATTCTAAAAAAAATAAGTTTTCCAATCTAGATTTAAAAGTAGCTTCCTAATATCGGAAGAAGAGCGTTCCAGATGGCCGCAGAAGTGCATCGCGAAAGTGCGCGACACAGTGACCGTCTTTGTTCGATGGCTAAAACCCGGAGCACCCGGAGAGGGAATAACACTTTATTCCCGTACAGATGGAAACAGATGGCGATTAGTCCAATTGATGTACCGCCTTCTCCTGGCGAGCCAGGGTATGGCACCTCAACACCCACGGGAAGGGAGTCTCACAATATTTGTTGCGGTGATCCACCAACTCCTGCTGCCTCCGCCGTGCCGGATGGCAGGCAACGTGCATAGCCACCACAGCCCGGCTACGTAATCGTCCAGGCTGAAACAATGTACTCTTTAAATATACCAGTGGAAAAACATTTTGACTTCAGCCAGTTTGGCGAAAGCAATCCACGTTACCTGCGGTGGTTGAAGCGGTGGCAGCAAGAGCTGGTGAAGACGACGATCGGCCTCGAGACGTCGAGACGTCAACGCTCTTCGCGGCGAGCGTCCACCGCGTAGGGGTGAAGTTTTGTCGGAGCACCTTGCGGCGCGGGGAGTTTGCAAGGTTATCCTCCTCGCGAGGCCGCGAACGTTACCTTATATTGATAGTGCGATGCCGTGCTGGGAGAATAGGTGGAGGGGCTCTCGAAGTCGAGAGTCAATGACCCGAAGTTCATCGCAGAGGGGGGGCTGGGGGGGGGGGGAATTTTTTTATTTGTTTAATTCGACGACCAGCCACTGCTGGGTTAGGAGGGAAGGGTGGAGGGTTAACAACTTGCTGGGGTTGCAGTTTTAGAGGAAGAATTTCAAGCGTGCTCTTCAAGTACTAACGATGGGATTGTTTTAAAAGTAAGATTTCATAATGTTACGCTACACGGATAAATTTCCGATTTCATATTTACAGAAATTGGATTTTTTAGGCCCAATTTCGGATTTTATTTCACATCTCGTAATTACGTATTTAAGTGTCTGACATTTTAACAACTTTCATTGTTTATCGAACTACGTTTAAGAGTACTATACCGCAGAGATGGATCAATTCAAATCAGCTCGTTCAGACGCAATCGGTCAGCGTTGCTTTGCCATATTTCACCACGCTGGTCAGTGCAGCTTTGAAAGCACATTTACCAATGGTGGATAATCACTTAGGATAACTGGCAGATTAAAGTATGGCCATTGTCTTGGGTTTGTTGATGCTACAGAGAAAAAATTGCCAAATGAAAGGATGGGAGTCATACTGAAACGCACACTCGCCAATGCAAGCGGTTAACGTTGATCAGTCATATAGTAAAATAGAGGGGGGTTTTTGGGGTTAGATCTCGTAAAGATAAATGTGTCGTTACACCCGCCACCACCCGACACAGCCAATTATTGAGGTTTGTCACGTAAACAAAACGCGCCAATTCGTTACTAGTTCAGCACTCCGGTGTGTTGGAGAGTAAACCAACAACATTTGCAATTCGAGTCCCGTGATGTTTTGCAGGTGATTACAACCAACATCATCAGACAGCCAGAGTCGACAAGCCTTACCAATTGGCTGTGTCGGATGGTGACGGGTTTAACAACATATGTACGCGATCAAACCCTTCTACGTGTTAGACTGAATCATACAGTACTTGACATTATCTCGCCACTCAGAAGTAAGGACTGACTAGCAACGGAGTTGAATGCCCTACAGATCGCTAATGCCACACACACGCATACACGCGCAGCTTGGAAATCAATATCCGTGGTAAACAAAGAAATTGGCTCGCTGTTGGTGGATCTCTGACCTTTGAACCTCACGTTCCGAGTAGAACGCGAGGTACCAAAAAAAACCCCCCCATTAGACTTTACATTCGCTGTTGAGGCAATTAATCCTCACGAAATAATCTGCGGAATATTGCGTTCGTGGTTTGAATGCCACAATAATTACTTTATTCTGTTCGAACTTGCGTGGCAAACACGCAATATGAAAGTACGGTAATATATCACAAAAGGCAGAATGTGCCATTGCAAGTAACCCGAAGAGCCTCCATTCTCTGCCAGTGTTGGAATGTTGTGGTGGAACGGTTGTACCCTGAACCCAACGACCTCAAATTGATCCCTGCCCACGGCTAACACCGCTCGTGAATATCTGTGCGGGTCTATTCACAGTAGAAAGTACACGCCATCTGCTAACACAGCGGACGTTAAATATCCTGCGACGTCAATTCACAAGAGTGGGCCATTGGGTGCCGGCGTCGAGGTACAAATTTGAGACAATTATCCACAAATTATTCAAGTGGAATCGGCACAGAAATCATCGTGCCCCCGTTGTCAGGACCCCTCTTATAATGAGTCACGAGACTCAGTGAGGCTTTCCTTGATATGTCTATGTATGTTCAACTTATTTTCTTCGTACGTAGCCAACCATGCTAATCGGATGTCCGTAGTAATAATAATAATAATGGTATCTGAACGGCTCCTGATGCCAACTCACACGAACGAAACACCATATGATGAGGCCTTCATCCAGCAGTGGTTCAACAAATGTCAGTAATGTATCATTATGCTGGAATGCATCATTCCCATAACTTGCATTACACGTGCTTTCCATTCTTTATTGCCTATGCACCTAACATAACGATACATTGATTCTCAGATCTGAAATATGCCAGATATTTATTTTGCACATTCGTGGCTGAGGCTGCACTGTAAGAAACAAGTTTAATGATGGGTGGCTAAAACCTATAAACTCAAACCCATAAGATTTCGAGATAGAGTCTCAGTGTTTTGAGATGGGACTCGCTAACTAATACACTCAGTCACCTCGGAAAAAAACAGCCGTACGACCGAATCAGTAAAAGGGATGGAGTGGTGGCACAGTGGTTAGCACACTTCTTCACAATGAACCCATACCCAAATTCGATTCCGGACCTCAGCTACCTACCGTCATTTGCTCGTGTCATCTGACCCGGTTTTGTGCACCACCTCCCCTTCACCAACCGGCAATGACCAGCACGGGGAAGTATGGTCAAACAGCCCCCCGTGGAGAGGCCTTTATCCAACAATGTGTCGTGTTTATGAGAATGACGCACGAAGATGAAGTATAACAGTTTTATTTCGAGCATAACACAACCAGTAAAAAGGTTACTCCTCCAACAGGAAATGTAATTTGGCAAAAAAACGCTCAAAAAGGAGGAGTGCATTTATCCCCGAATGCGAAACACACCATTTGTAACTCTGCTGGTGTAACCAGTGAATGGCTGATCTTTATCGGTGGTTTGTATTCAAAGAAGACGTTCCAGTGCCCTATACAAATGAGATTTGCATTCGTGTAAAAAAATAGAAACAGTAGAAAACAAATTTCCATCACAAAACGAACACGCACATGCAATTGTCGTACTGCTTGTCCAATGACTATGTAAAATGTTCACGTTGCACGCGTGTTCACATACGCGCAACACGGAGTGTAAAAGAAGGTGCAACGATTGTGGTATCCAAAATATGACGGCAGCTTTATAACGAAATGTCGCCATTAAATGATTTGCGAGCAAAACAATAGACTCTTGTTTAACGTGACAGTACGGTGACATGTAGCGGGCCTCTTAGTGGACGGAGGGCGTCACGAGAAGCCATGAACACATGCCTTCGAATAAATCGATGCTTACCGACGCTTCGTAACATCCCCATGTAAAAAGTAAAAACGGTAAGAAATAGTAGAATCTTCGATCCAAACGAGCGTTGATATTTGCCAAACGGGTATTTTAGTTTAATCGTTTAAGCTATTTTCGCAATGTCATATCAAAAAAGTAGATTTACATCTCATGCTCTTATGCTGTTGACCGGCACGAGAGGTGACGTGTATATGGTAAAGCCAAAAGGGATGTCAATGGCGTTATATATACTGTCAAGCAAAGCGGTCCATGGGGAGGGGGGGGGGGGGTGAGGATGCGGGGCCGGGGCAAATCAGTGTGGGCCCCCCCGACGCCTTCAAACTAAACCAAAAGTATTTCATCCGGACACCGTGAAGTCGAAGCACGCCCCTCCCCAAAGCGCGCGGAACCCAGGGCGGTCGCCCCGATTCGCCGTGTACCCTCGAGAGACGCCTCTTGTGTGGCCAGTAGTATGTACAGGTCAAATGAACCGTGGCCTGAACAGGAGCACGTTACCTTTGAACGTAACCTACGAACCTAGCAATGGAATGCGCTCCAGCTGACCTCCGATGTAAGAAGTTCAACCCATTATTTGTATGTGGTCATGACCAAGATTAAGGTTGAGGGATGGTGCCTCGAGTTGTTTTAGTTTATGGGAGGCCACCGATTAAAATACAATTCCTTCCCTGCAATTTTACCAGCACTCGTCCAATTCAAAACACTCCACTGTTTTGAACCTTGGTTGTCGGTTCCAGGTTTTTAAAGGTGCCATACACGTTGTAAAGCTGAGTCAGTGAAAACGAACACAACTTTTCATTTCGGCACACACAGCGATGGGATGGCTTTAATGACCAATTTACCCCAATAGGATCGATTACACGGGTACAGTCTTGCGTTTTAACCACTATACAACTTTTGATTTAAAGCTTTCATGACTGCAGGGATTCACATTCTTGGTTAATTCTTCTACGTCACTATAAAACTATCTACTTATGGAGGAACCTCAAAATATCTCAGACCCCGGGCTAAAGCTCCTGCGTAAATCCGGCCTTATGCATGGCTATATATGGGTAAATGTCAAAAGAGTGGGACGAAGAGACATCGTGCGACTCCACCAGCTACAGATCATGCCTTTACATGGTCATGCAAAGGTGTACACACTCGTCTTCACATTCATATCAAGAGCTCTGCGATATCGCCAAGACACCCATACATGTGCTGCTTTGTATTGCTTTGAAACACTGCTGTGCAAGGCGCCTAATAAGTGCAAATTAATTATTGATTAATTAACATGCAATGTCATACTCAACGCTCTAAGAACTCTGTTATTGTGATTATATCGATGAAAGCGAATAATTATAGAATTATAATCAAATCATCACCTCTACAGTCAGTGTATACTCGGTACATTTAAGTTGATGTTGCTTTAGTTTATCTAAGTACTGTATATATATATTTCACTAGAACCCCACACCGAAGCCAATCAAATAAAGTGTCACGTGGGCTCGTGTGCCAGTTCATTTGCTTTTTCATAAAAGCAAGCAAAATTTTGACACATTTTACCATATTTAGTTGATGTTATAACTTCATGACTTTATTCCCTAAACACAGAAGTGTGCATTAATTTCTAACATACTGTCGTTATTAAAGTGGTGGGGACTCTCATATCCTTAATGGCAGAAGTGTGAAATAGACACACAAACATAGGTGCATGGGGCAAACTGTCAAAAAGGTAAAGGTGGGGCCCTAACAAAAAATGCCTTGCTTGTGCCACTGCTGGTGGAAGGCCTCCACTAGGAGGCAACTCCAGAGAGCTCCTCTCGAAGGTGTTTTTGCCGACTGTTCTGGGAAAAAGGTGAGAGTACCCACATTTTACCCCAATGCGCACAGGCCTGCCGATCGACTGTGGTCTAACCACTCATACGACTAGCTGAACCGAGGCACCGAGTAATTTGTCCCAACCGTTTCACCTGCCACGTGGCGAGATAGAATCGAACCGGCAACCTCTGGATTTTAACTCCGGTTGTGCAGCCCATTACAGCATGGCAGGTACTAGGTAAGAGATCAAACGGCCTATTTAATAAATTAAATACTACACATTGCCGGCATAGACGGTAACAGCTCGCATACAAAACAAATAGTATGTTCTTTGCTGGGCGAGCAAAACTTTTTTGTTGGAGACAACTCCACAAACAATGTTCTTTGTTTTTATAATGCACGACCATGTGAATCCAGGGGTCAAGCACGCAATGGCACATGCATAGTTGACCTTATGGGCACACACTGGAACATCCACTGCACCTCCAGCTACCCAAGGACGAATGGCACACAGGCACACACACAATGCAATGTGCGCGTGCGAGCGTGTATGTTGTTACCCGCCGTTATGGGGAGCGGTAGTGTAGCCGTTAGCACGTTGCGCTACCAACCTGGCGACCCAGGTTCGATTCCCGCTCACGGCGAACACCAGTGACGATTATCTGAACCGGTCCTGGGCCTCCCCTAGGTCGACTCAGCCTCAAACGAGTAACTGCTGTGGTGTGAACATTGCCGTTAGGGAGACAAAGGCGGCCGGGCGTGGTGTTGGCCACCCACCCCTTCGTGTGCCGTGCCGGCCTTTATAGGTGCTCGCTAACAGCACTTGCCCCTGCAGTTACCCGCCGTGACATTCAAAAGCAAAATTAAACAGACGAGGAGTGCACAAAGGAATATGGAGAAGTGCATGCTGGGGGCGTGCTTGGAATTGCACCAAGATGAGGAACACACAGATTGTACAAGGTACAAAAGTTATCATACCATTAAGAGAAACGAGACATTTAAGTGGGCTTTACCTGGCCAGCGGTCAAGACTTACGACAGAGTACCATCCAAGGGAGGGAATACACCCGAGGGGATATCGACTGAAGAGTTTGAACGATGAAATCGGTTCGAGCCAAGCGAACTCCCTGGTTAGTAACTCGCGGGTTTACTAACCATGCGTCTGTTTGACCGCGGGCTTTTAAGAGACCCCACGACATACAAAAAAAAGTGAGTAGGCCATGTGTGCCGGAACACGCTACAAAATTTTATAAATAATATGCAAATTACTTAATTGGGAGGCCACACTGCAACATGTATAATGGCCGCTTGCCGTCCTGTTCCTGCGTCGACTTCATGCCTCCCAGGTGGCTCCCCTCTGCCGCATGCACTCTACGGGAGGCAAAGTATAAATGTCCAGTGATGACGACGATAAAAGCACAGAGCGCAGTTGGGGAAAGGCGCGAAGACCTGAGCGTGAGCAATGCACAGAACACAATCACAGCAAAAGAACCAGCATGAAACACAACTAAGCATAGACAATTCAACATACACAACCATCTACTTTTACCACAATCTCTGGTATGGCAGACCTCTTGACATGTATGTGCAATAATATATGACGTAACCACCTCAACCATAAAACGTGAATTTGAAAGGTCTGTGAATGTAGTAAACTGGATATATTTTGTACAATTCAGGAAAATGGGTCTCAAATGTAAAAGGGTTTCAACATTTGCAATGTAAATGTAGTGATGTCATAAATGTGAGATCACCTTATTACAAGTAATGACTTCAGCCTCTTGTGATCGATACACAACTAAGCAGTATGTAAAAAAACAAAAGGTTATTTTCATCTATCGTTAGTTGTCGATATTTCAAATGTACAGTACTTATAATTCAAATTTATAATGCGCATTCCATCCCAAGGACCCCAATGCCTTACCGATGCAACGTCAAGAGAACACAGCACAGGCCATCCATGGAGAACTAAAATGATGATTTTTAGACTTCCCGTAAGTATATCATCAACGTTGAGAAGTAACCAATTTGCGAGGCCAAAAGCCTGCAAGTAACTTTAATCAGAGACAAACTGTAAGATAGAAGACCCACACGTCTACTCGAAAACATTGGAAAACCTTCATAAAATGTACCAAAACGCAGTATTCGCAAAACACATTTCTGTTGTCGTTATTCAGTGCAGGGAAACTGCTCGACCACAGCACTGTATTAAAGTTTAAAAAATAAAACGTTTCATACTGTGGGGGAAAATGTGGTTTAAAAAAAATTGCTAATAACTCTCCCGAATGTTTTTAGGTTGTGGCGTTGTGCTGTTCGACACGATAACCCTCACGATCCACGCAGTGTTGGGAGTCCCTCGCTCCAGCGGTGGGTTCAAAAAGAGGGCGGTACACGAACGCCATTTCGACGCGCAGATCGTGGGCGGTAGGGACCAACGTAAACCGGCATGTCGTTACACAAAGGCCGCGTTGAGTCTCTCGCCGGAGTGCTGTAAACAGCTCTCCGTTGGCGTTGTTTTTGTTTTTTGCAAGTTGCCCAAATTCGTGATGTTCAACCGAATCGATTCACTTTCGGACATCGTGCCGAACGACATGCGCGGTATGGGGAAAAAAAACAGATCGCAGAGCTGCACGACACAGCCGCAGAGACCCAACTCAGCAGGACGAGAGAAAAAAAACCGTCGTAAATAACTGGCTCCCAATTGGCGAAGCATTCTAGTTATCCTTCATCATCATTTTTTGATATCGTCACCCATAGCCTCATGCTAAAAATGTACCAAGACATTTGTAGATGGCTAATCCAGGGTTTCCTTTTTTTCCTCAATTTTCATGGACTCCACATAGGTTCAAAAATGTATCCTGTTCCCAGCTCTTTAACATTTATCCGATTGCAAAATATTATTCCACTTGATCACCCAAAAAGAAGCTCCCATCTCCCCCTGGTGTACGGTTATTTGAACTGTGCGGTTGCCAATGTGTATTATACGTATGTGTGTGTGTACAATTGGGACTGGCCACAACATACAAAACAAACTATGCAGATACATTATATCACATCCCAGTAAAATATGGTCATTTCAATAACTTAAATCTGTCATTTGAACCCAAAAACAAGTTTCAATATTACGCCACTGTCAACAATGTCTGGGGTTTATGCTTTTTGTCTTCCAATAGGACTGCGGTCATCCCCCGACACCGTCCAGATCGAGGACCTCTTCAGCACGTCACTGAAGGAGATTAAGCTGGGTCAATGAACCACTAAACCGTGGCTTATTTGAAAGGTCAGTAAAATCTAACTTAATAACATCTCCTGTAGCCAATAAAATCAATATGATTTTAGAACAAAGATGGAAAACGCAATGTACACAAATACAGAAAATGTGATGCATCCCCAACACTTGCCCATGCCCCACAAAGCCCCTTATACCACTGTTCCACCGGCACATCTGGGCCCGAGCCAGCGCGGGGGACCTCACCAGAACACGTGGCTTTTTCCACTGACTTTTTTTCCACGCGGAACCAGAAGCAAACCACGATACTTTGGGCCTCACCAGACATCTGGCTTTTTGGGCCAAGCAGGGCCAGTCGCGGGGCCTAATGCACGTGGGCCCACTGTGAAGACAGCGCCACTGCTTCGCCTGCACGTATCTCAGCGTTAATTGCGCGTGGAGTCTAGTGTTCACGGCTTGGGTTCTGCAGTGGAAAAAAACAACACTGGCGCCTCTTTGATCATGTGCCGAGCTGACTCGGCACGGATTGGTTGTGCAGTGGATAAGGGGTATAAGAGACCAGCTGATTTTAATAAAACTTCTATCAACATCAATAATGAATGAGATTTCCACTCAAACCTACTTGCGATTCTGGACTCCCCTCTGTTCTTCATACTGTTGTAAACTTGTTTAATTGCCACGTAAGACCAGCAGCCACTGTTAGGTTCTGTATGCGGACTTTAGCAAATACACGCACGGTGCAAACACCTATGGCATTAAGATCTCTGTGTTTACTGCATTTGCATGGGTGTGTACAATTTAATATCCGCCAAGTTGGCATACATGACGTGGATTGGAATGTCTAAAGCCATAGCACATGGCATTGTTATCGGGGAGTTATGTAAAAACAAAGAAGAAGTCAACGGCTGTAGGTCAAGGGACGGGAGATTTCCGATGACCTAGTATGGTCTGTAGTTTTCAAATGAAGTGTAGCCAGAGTTGTAGACTTTTTGGCGTGGCGATGGGAAGTCCCGGGTCTTGAATCCTGGCTGCCCCATCCTGGGTGCGCAGCCTCTCAGCGGAGAGCCCCTCAATAACGAGGGGATTTGCCTGTGAAGCTTATTGCCTGCAACACAAAACACACGTTCTCAGAAAGGAGTAAAGGGGACCGTATAGGAAAAAAATTGACGTAAGATGGACACCACCGGGCAAAAGCAAACCCGGAAGACCCGAGACCACCTGGCGCAAGACCGCAAAGGACGAGCTGGCGGTCGACCTCCCTTGGGGCGAGGCTCAATATGTTGCCAAGGACAGGGAGAAGTGGAGGGAACTCATTGTGGCCTCGTGTCTCACGGGATGAAGGAGATTAACTAACTCGCACAAAACACGTCACGCAAATTATTGTAGTCGTAATAATAATTAGGAAATAAATGAAAGGTGCAGCGCTTAGATTACATGCTCATGCCACTGCTGACAGAAGGGAGCTGTGGAGAGCCCCTCTAGAGGGTATTTGGCCTACTCTTCCACACTGGCTAAATTTCTTCTAAGTCACGGGCGTTGTATGTATAGGTTATTATTAGCTGGCCAGGTGCCGCCGTGTCTCCAACATATGTATGTAGAACTTTTCGCGCACCGTACGTAGCCAACCTTGCTAATCGGAGGTGCGGGGTTATTTTACCATTCCGGTACAACTTTGGCGAGCTGGATTTTGCACTAAGCTGGACCAGGTCAGCTAATTAACAAAACATCTCAAAATGTATATAATAAATGCCAAAAATAAATAGGATCAAATACACACTACATTATTTGGATTATGCCATATAAAATATGATACGTAATAAAATGCACTCAAATGTGTTAGGGTGTATATAATGTGTAAAATCTGTATAAGTGTGTTACATTTTAGAGATGGGGGAGGAGTGATGGGGATGGAGGGGAGGGGTGTTAGGGGGAAGGCAATGGGGGGGCGAGAGGGGTGGTGGGGGATGAGGGAGGGGGTGGGCTGATGATTTTGATGAAGAATAATATATATGTATAACCATTGTGATCATTCTAAGCATTGTCACGGTATAGACTAACCTGCACGGGCATCCACGAAACCATCCTTCTGGATAAAAAAAGAAGAAAAAATTAATGTTAGTACCACAATTTAAAATTAAGAACCGTACCTTTTTCAGTATTTTTTACGTTTATATAATGTGTAAAATTATAAAAATATGTTAAACATGAGCAGTACACTGTAAACAGGTTTTTCATAGATATATGTTTTAATATACGAAGTAAATGCAATGCTAACGAAGGTTACTCCTTGTTAATTCAAATTGAAAAAAGCATCAAATAACGATTCTGACAAAAGCTTTTAACGGATAAATATGTGATTTCTCAAGTGCTCGGCAAACTGGGCCAAGAGTCTTAACTCTCCGTTGTTTTCCAGTTGAGCCGCGTTTTGTACAATAAAGCGACAGAGCTCTCCAACGCGTCGAGGAGCTGAAGGATCTCCCAGCACGTGGAACGTATCGTTGGACATTGTGTCGAACGGAACGCGGTAACAGCCAGGAAAGACGCGTCGGAGAGCTGCACGGCACAGCCGCAAAAACCCACGCGGTAGCATTACCATGTGGTTGTCGTGGAGGCGATATTGCAACAGCGCTTGTGCGAGAAGGTTAGAAGCCTTCAGGGCCACACTTGCTTCTTCTTCCCCACAGATCTTGAAGTTCACCTGCAGGGCGACACACGCGGGACAGAGAAGATACGATCCTTGGATTTAAGCGCTAATCCCAAATCGTGAACAGACATTCGCCGCGATTTAAAATGGGAATATCAATCACCACACGAAGTAGATGAATAAAGCACTTACGAGCGAGTTCAGAACATCCAGGTTGGTAATCCTCCTCCTAGGTGATGGCCCGAATTCATGCTGAAATCACAAAAGCACGACATTTAACATCGATAAAAAAACACTTCTTTTTTTATATATATCTTTTGCTGTTGCAATTTTCCATAATTTTATCCTGTGCTGTCCGCGTCATGTCACGAGACAAAAATAAAATACGTTTCAATCTTTCGCAGAGCAGTGCAATTGTCTGTGTTAAGAGAACAGCCCACGGAAGTGGATATCACAGAGCTCCTGCTGAGATCAGCTGGCCTGGGAATGCCTGGGAATTCCCCAGGAAGAGTTAGTCTGTCGCCAGGGAAAGGGAGGTCTGGACCGCCCTACACAACACGCTGCCGCCGCGACCATCACCAGCACAAGCGGATTGAAAAATGAACGAACGAAGAGAACGGCCCACGGAAGTGGACATGACAGGGCACCTGCTGAGACCCCATATCGTGAAGGTACATGTTGCACCATTATAAAGCAATGCTGGTCAGAATTCAGTGAAAAATTTAGAAAACACAAATAATGTCCAATGTAATGTTTTTGATCAAGTTTGACTCGCTGGTTGACGTCGATGCATTTTCTAAGCATTTCGAGGGTACGGGATATTAGGGGAGCACCCCCATTCGCACCCACCCCCCCCCCCCTGGCAATGTGTTGTAACCCCTTACCACCTTTCCCTTATATATATATTTGACTCACTTGAGTGTGAGTGTGTGAATAAACGATTTATTTATACGTGGAGTGGTTGGTGCACTGTACTATGGACCGGGTGACCCGACTTCGATTCCCAGTCACCCCTAATAAAGAGTGGCGAATGATAACTTAAATCTGTCCTGTCTGCCCCCTTCGCAGACCTACAGTAGCCAGCAGAGTGAGGTATGGTCAAACAATTCCCACCACTCACATGGCAAGGGGAGGCCTTCATCCAGGAGTGGATTGCCAAACATTTGTAAATTATGATTATTATTGTTGCACTACAAAACAAAAGGAATATAACCTAATATTTTGAAATTACAATTTAAATAAAATTCGCCTATTAAAGAATCTATATTTCACTAGATTGTGTATGTATCGAACCAGGGTGTACATGAGACAGAACATAAGAGAAACCATTTACGGCGCATACCCAGTCGTAGTTGTTTCTGTCAGAATAATACATATCCGGGTCGTGTCTGTACTTCGTCCTGTGACACCACAAAGGAAGAAAAATGTGTTTGAATAACCATAAGGATGTACATTTATCAGGTGCTTTTAAATACCCCAGCAACTCAAAGCACCTTACATCTCAACCCAACCATTGCAGTGCCTTGCTGCAACCTATCCAAGGGAACCCCAGTGGTAGCTATGTCTGCGTGCGGCACAAGGTGAACTCAGACAGCGCTGGTCTGCCAGGAGGGGACATGCTTACATACAATTGTATGAAAACCTACACCACTAATGTTATGGCCACACTAAGCAAATACTATTTTTTTTTAAGCCAACATAATGACTACTTCATAAATGTTTTCAAATGAAGGCATCTCAAGGTGCCATACAATGCAATAATATTAACAGAAAAACAGCAGCAGAGGGCAGTGGAGAAAAATCCATTGTTGCAGTGCACTTCTTTGCTCCCAACCTACATTGGCCAACTTGGTGAAAAATACGGTCAAATAACCCACTTGACCGACACGGTGTGGGGGAGGGGGAAGCCCTCATCCAGCAGTGGACCGACAAAGGTGCCGTACACGTACGCATACGTGCACACAGTGTACGTGTGCTGCGAGCCACACCAGGAGTTGGCATGTGAGTGAGGCCCGGGCGGGTGACCTCTGCTGTACGGCCGCCCTCCGAGCATTCCACGGCCCGAGAACCCAGCGCGCTCTGCAGGCCCTCCGCGGCCTGCGAACGCTCCGAACCCTCGTCCACGCATCCCTCGCCCAGGCGGTCCACCGACGGGTCCCCCGGGCCCCGCGAACCCACCGCGTGGCATCCCTCCTCCAGAACAGAGACAAAGATCCCCCGTGTAGCCTTTGACAGACCGTCGGGGCAAGTGCCGTTAGCGAGCACCTATGAATGCCGGCACGGCACACGAGGGGGTGGGTTGGCCAGCATCACGCCCGACCGCCTTTGTCTCCCCAGTGGCGATGTTTACACACCACACTAGGTACTCGTTTGAGGTCGAGTCGACTTAGGGGAGGCCCAGGACCCGTTCAAATAATTGTCACTGGTGTTGGACGTGAGCGGGAATCGAACTCGGGTTGCAAGGTTTGTAGCACAATGCTCTAACCGCTACACTACCGCTCCTCCACAACACACACACATGCATAGCAACGGTGATAATACAGGAAGCGATGATGATGATGAAAGTAGCGATGACGGTGAGACTGGAGGTGATGATAGTGATGGTAGGGACAATGATGGTGGTGTGGGTGGATCACTGAGTGTGCGAGTGGTTGAGTAGACAGCTGAGTGTGCGAGTGGTTGAGTAGACAGCCGAGTGTGCGAGTGGTTAAGTAGACAGCTGAGTGTGCGAGTGGTTGAGTAGACAGTTGAGTGTGAGAGTGGGTGGATAGCCGAGTGTGAGAGTGGGTGGATAACAAAGCATGTGAATGGGTGGATATGATGCAGACCACTGCTAGGAGATATCGGTGAAGGAAACAGCCATGCCTCAATGGCCCAAAAGGCCAAGGCCAGAGAGGAAAACGCGAGGGCTCAGATGTTGTTCTTACTTCCCATCGTTCCAGGGAATGACCAGTTGTTGAGACCCTGGCCACCCTGGGTCACTTTAGTCTTCAGGGTCTCCTTCACTGTGAGCGCAAAAACATCGTACAGGTGGTCACAGGTAACGACACAAGGCAACCAGGGCATACAGAGAATTGGAGTGTTGCGAAATGGCGATACTGTACGATAGGGGCGGTGGCATGGCCTAGCGGTGGCACATTCATCGTTTGGTGCAGAGGTGCTTGGTTATAAATCTAGCGGCCACTCTTTATTAATACTGCTGGTGTGTTCATCGTAAAAAACACAGTGGACGTTAAAGATCCCGTGGCGTCATTTGTATGAGTAGACCATGCTCCAAATAATGCCAAATTTGAAAAATTACCCACAAATGACTCAATTGGGCTGAAACGTAGTAGAACATAGGTGTGCGTTAATGCGACCTGCCAAATTGTTTTTGAAAACCCTATTTGGCCCTCGGTGAGGAAAAGATTCCCCACCCCTGGAAGAGGCCAATACATAGGTTGTGCGCGAGACATTCCTCTTAATGTTGTGACCTTTCTTAATGTGACAACAAACATGGTGGCGTATTAGCGTCAAACTGAGCGCGGCTCATTTCTGAAACAAAGTGAAAGGATAAAGCGTGACTGTCCTTTTAGGAATGCTGGAACTGATATATGGCGAAGTGGTTTTTCTGTAGCGTCACATCGTTTACCTTCTGTTGATCTCTTTGTGGCTTTGGTGCTGTCTACATTGGGGAAGCAAACAGGCGGCTTGAATGAGTCGCCCTTTTCAATTTTCAACTGAGCAACGCAGCACAATGCCAAACAAGAGCACGTATCACCGGGTCAGAACGCGCGCGCACATACACACACACACAGGCATGTGCATTACATCGTAATTTAACACAACGGTGCACGACAATAGGAAATGATAACCGTAAAGGAATACACATTATGGTTCAAATTATTGAATTGCATTTTTTCGTTGGAGAACAGCCCATGGAAACGGACATTACAGAGCTACATGCGAGAACCCTTCAAGTGCCGTACGGTCTACAAAGTAGGGGGGGTAGTGCTGTATGACAGTCAAACCTATATTTTTTATTCTTAGAGCTGTAATTTAGCCAAATAAAGTGCAGAACCAACTTTAATGTAACACAGTCGATCATTGATTATCCGGTGCGAGATTATCCGGCCTCCAACATTATCCAGTGGTCCTGGGCCGATCCGGTGATAACGGGCAAAACCGCTTCAAAGGCTGCATCAATCCGGCGATCATCAAAAACATTGTTGTTGAAACAAGAGTGTAGTACGTACATCACCCCATGCAGTCTTCGAGATTGTATTGGTAAGTACGGTACAGTAAGTACATTACCTTTCTACAGGATTTTTTTCTATTTGTATGTTTATGTATACCAATTTCACATAGTAAACAAATGTAAAACACTAAAAAAACATATACACAACACCTAAAACATATTATACAAGAATGTGCCAAAAAAATATATTTTAAATAATGATGTGATTATCCACCCTTTTTGAAAATCCAGTGCCCCCCTTCCCCCTCCTGGAAGCTACCGGATAATCTATGATCTACGGTAGTTTGTTTCGTGCAGTCATTGGAGACCAGACGGAGGCCATCCAATCACTGCACTCTGAGAACCTCGTGTAATCACAGGTGGCTGCCAGGATTCAAATCCAGGATCTCAGCGGTTCCGACTCGGCACTTTAAGCTCTGAGCCACCTGGCCCCCCTCCTAATGCGCATTGCATTTAATCACACTATTGTGACAATGCTTACTTTGAATGTCTTGGGCCCCTCAGCTTTTATGATCCGCTCAGCTTCTTTCCGTACCACATCTGCCCTCTCAGTCTTTGACATTTCCGCTTGAACGGCAATGTCATTGTCCGGATGATAGGTTCGCTGTGAAAATAACGATACACGTACTGGAATGACAAAATAAGTAATTGGTATGAATGTTTGATGAACTTCTTTCGCACCGTACGTAGTCAACCGTGTCAATCGAGGGTGCGGTATGTCAATCAAGCATATAAAGCACATGGGAATAACCAGGGATCAAGGACAAATTCAGATGTGTCTGTAACCAGATACAGCAGTAATTTATTTTCCCGTTTCACAAACCCACACTGAACCAGCATGGGTGAAGTATGGTCAAAAATAATAATATTCATATTATTGTGATGATTACGCTGCACGTGTCAGTTGTACTGGATGAAGTTTGATGGGGGACCTGGGGATGCTATAGGTTTTGGGGGCCACACAGTTTTGGGAGTTGTTTGACCATACTTCACCATGCTGGTCAGCATGGGTTGGTAAATGGGGTGGCTGGGGAACGGCAGTGTCACGGTTAGCGTACAGGGATATGAGCTCGGTAACCTGAGTTCAATTCCTGATCACGGCCAACATCATCGATGGCCATCCGTACCGATCCTGACTCGGCCTCAACTGGTGCTCATTTGGCTCATTTGAGGCCGAGTCGGCCTAGGAGAAGTCCAGGACTGGGAAGCCCAGGACTGGGAAGCCAAAGGTGGCTGGGCATAGTGCTGGCCACACCACCAATTAATGCGCGTACGTGCCGTCACAGGTACTCACCAACAGCAATTGCCCCAAGCGTCTTCATGGCTACTCTGTGGAGCATTGTCTTTGAGAGAAGGGTGGATGTTCAGATATCACCCACCACTGATGATTCAACAAATAAACCTGAAATTGATGTTAGCCGTGGCCAGGAATTGAACGCAGGTGGCCAGGTTCACAGCGCAGCGCGCTAACCACTGTACCACTAGCAGCCCAAATTACATCTTGCGAGCTAACATTGAAGCATAAATACAACGAACGTTTGAAAGGTACTCACTATATACTTCATTCTGTGCTTGACGCTGATAAGGTGAACAATGATGTTGAACATGGTTGAAGAGACATTGCAAAGTTCGCAAGAAAAGTAGGACTGAGAGGGGCAGTTGCCGTTACGATGTTCCATGATTAATTCCAAGCCTGCACACACAAACACACAAACCAGTGCCAAAGTTCCACATGGTTAAATGCACTGCCAGAGACAATTGACAGCAATTATTTCCACAAATCTCCATTGCAAACCATGGCATTTGGGAGATGGCTTACCTAGGTAAGGCTCCGATTTGTCCTGGGCATCCAGGTGCTCTTGAAAACCTTAAGAGCAAGACCAGTGTTATTAGGAGGCAAGTATAATGAGAGGTCACTGCAGGGATTTTAGCATTAAACAGTGGAACGTGTACCTGTTTGGTAAGTAATTTTAAAAAGAGCTGAAGAATATCTGCAGTAATTTTCATTCGATCCTGTTTGACATTTTAATAGCGATGCATTCTTTGTAGCAAATGAGCATTCGCTGCCACGAAGGGTTTTTGCTGTACAGTTATCCGATGTGTTTATTTTTTTCGGGGTTGTACCGCATGTTGTGTTTGGCATGGTGTCCGATGTTTCACTCCACGTGCTGGTGAGCTTCTGAATATGCACTGAAGAAGTGGATATTGTTATAACGTTTCCTGAAGGCAGCCAGTCGGCCAAAAATATCAGTGACAGTGAAAATACGCGATAATTGTCGTTTACTATCCTATTATTAATGAAATTTTATGTTATTCCTCAAAAACGCAACCCATACAGTAGTTACAATTTTTGCATAAATTTAGGCGCCACTTGTTTCCATCAGTTTCCTTTAATTAAATACACGTGCAAATTAATGTTTTGTTACTCTGAGGAAATTAAGATTGGAATTCCGAAATGAATAATAATTCCATCCGTGTAAGGATATACACAATACTTCTATGGCAGCTAAAAATGCGATCAAAATCACTTTGGCTCAAGATATACAATCTATAGGGGTATTTATACTGCATTCCTACTGGTGTTGCGCAGCCATACCAGGCCAGTCCTGCAACAGCCAATCAGGGCTTGGGTTCTGTCTTGATGTTGGCTTTGTAGACTCGACACTCCACCCTCCACCCCTAGGTTTGATGTTTTGGTTAGCTTACGGTGGTATCCCAAGCTAATATTTATTATTTGGATATTTTTTTCTGCCATTTCTTTGCTTGCAAAAAAACAGACCTCTGATATTGACCTTTAAAGTGAGAGATGCTATTGACCCAGTGATGTCACGACTGTGTTTGAAGGTGGTCAAGTTGAAGGTGGGTGCATAGCAGCACCCTTGAGCTAAATAAGCCCAGAGTATCATGGTGATGCTGGTGTAATGGTGAGCACAATGGACTTGTGGTTATAGCTGGTTCGATCTCCCGGTGTGGCAGATTAATCTATGAAGCAGGTTTCTTATATCCCCCCACCTGCAGTATACATGGGTACAACCACAGTTAGGCTGCAAGTCGTCTGGCCTGGGTAGAAGAGAGGGGGCCAAATACCCTTAAGAGAGGCTCCCTAAAGCTCAGTCTAGTAGAGGCCCTTCCGCCAGATATAGTTTGGAAAATAAATTGCAGGGCTTTGCCTTTGTACGTATGATTTAATTTCTTCCGCACCGTATCTTTATCACCTTTTAATCACGACAGGTTCGCAAGCTACCTACCATGGGAATCTGGGCTCATACCACTTTTCCAGTTCACTCACTGGCCAAGTTGGGCTACAAAGTGTGAACGTAAAAGTAAGAAATGAGGCATCAAAGGTAAACAAAGACCTTCTTACCTTTCCCTTCTAGCTTCACTATTTTTGGTGGGTGACCATTTTCATCCACAACTTTTGCTGTCATTTTATTTATGTTTACCTGAAGAAGAAAAAAAATTCACATAGAGAAATTCAACAATGTACTGATGAGCAAAAAAAATGAGAGAAAAAAAACAAGCATTTCATAACAACAAAAACATATACTCTGGGCCAAATGCATCACCGAACCGATACTTTGTCTCAGAAGTGACATACAGCGCAACATAATGTTTTATTTTGGCCCACGCATGAAAGTGCTGTCAGATTGCTGTTGCTGTGGAAGGTGATATACAAATAGGCATTAAGCAAAGACAGACAGAAAAGGCCAAGCAAACACAAAGTTGGCATCGTTATAATTTCGCACGCGAGTCATTCCATGCCAAATCACCCAGATTTCAGGAACCTTCCAGTATCACAATTTCCATTTTTTTTCCCTTTGGTCATCGTACTTTGAAACTAGGTCATAGACAATATTTCAGTTCTATCGGCTAATTATTTCAGCCGGAATGACCATTTACACGTGAAGCGAGTTAATAATTTACATTTAAAAATATATATTTTGGGTGCATTTTCACAATGGAATATTGCAAAACGAATTAAGCTACGTTCCGGATATTTTTGGAAGTTATTTACGAATATCTAAAGTTGTATACTTCTTAGAAAATTGCCTTTGTCAGAAGACTATCGTTATGTGTGCAGGGAAATTACCTAAAAATAATATTTTGTACCTTTGCGAGTAATTGAAGGTCGATTACAGGATTTTTTCCTGTCCAGGTTATCACAGTAATTCACTTGAAATGTGTTTTCTAACAGTGTATTAACAGCTAAATACCAGTACAAGACAATAAGAAGCAAACGACATGGCACTCAATTCATACATATTGCAATGCAGGTTTCAAGACATCACAAACTGCTCATATGGCTATGATTTGTGTGGTGCATTTAGGTCTTGTTTTTTTAAACCAAATTTTGCAAATAAAAAGTCTTCCTATCATATGAATCACGTCCAACAAACGTGGTTGTGTTGATGTATATATCCACAATGTGTCACCACGTCTGTTTACATGATCGTAAAGAAAACTTTTTTCATTTTACCAGCTAAGGCCCACTGAGGTATACAGCTCTTTTTCAGAAGTGACCTGACCACAAATGATCGCTCAACAAAGTGGCTTATGTGGAAATGTATAGCAGCCAAATCATCTAAACGCATCTTGATTCTCAATGTGGAGGGAAAAACCGGAGGATCCGGAGAAAAATCACACAACCACGGGGAGAACATGGAAACTCCAAATATACAGCAGCTCAGGGTCGGGATCGAACCCATGACCTCCTGCATACCAGGTGAGGGAGTTAACATCTCACCACTGCGGTGTCCCATCGTAGGTACCACATACCTGCTCAAGTGACCAACCCTCAATCTCCATCACCTCCTTAGCTACCGGCATGAGTTTCTTTATGTTTTCAGCCGTCTTGATGCTGTCAACCTCGGCAGTGGTCAGCTTGATTGGGTAGAAAGTATTCTTGGGAAAAATGGGTAAAAGAACAAAAAGTTAACTTAGGAAAAGATAGCTATGATAATTATAGGGCACAAAGTGATGACATATTAAAACCTTTACCAGCTGCATGTAAATCACGTAAATAAAAGTATATGACATGGCAATTTTTTTTTAACTACAGGCAGATCTTGCTTTGCGTGACCCCATAGAATGCCGATTCGTGATAGCGCTCTTTGTCCTGGATAAATTTTTTTTTACAAAACAATTAAGAAAATACTAAAAAAAAATTACAAAGTGCTTACAAGTGAGAATACACAACAGCGCTGCCCGAGAAAATGTAGCCTCCTCCATCATTCGGTCATGTATGTTGAACTTATTTTGCACCGAACGTAGCCAACCGTGCTAATCGGAGGTGTGGGAGAGAGCGACGTTTCCTCTCAGCTAACCACAGCCCATCCCCCGCGATTTGATGATTACAATTTGTAGTCACGATTACATTTAAAAAACAATCGATTTGTCTAGCCAGGTGAGAACCCACGAGACCAGGATAGAGTTATAGGCTCCACCTAAAAGAAACCCCACGTGAGAATTTTAGACTGAGGGCATCACTAAGATTAAGGAGGTCCTGGGGCTCTTCTGAGAGTGACACCGGATTGGGAGCATAGCAGCTCCCCCACCACTGCCTTGTAGGAGTACAGTAGAATGCACTCATGAGTACAGTACATAATACTTACTGATGTTATTAAAATAAATTAGAATTTTTTTATTTATGAAAGATTATAATTAGCGCTATTACCGATACCCCAATGAAGTCCTCATATATTGCTCATAGGAAAGAATTAACGATGTCGGGAACGCATCCCCATATATAGTGGTATAATGATCCCTTTTAGCGCCAATACAATGAGCGCTCACTTCTCCAGGAACACATTTTGAGCGCTAAGCGAGGTCTGCCTTTATACAACTGTACACTCTGAACAATGTCAACGTATACCTGATGTGATTCATGAAGTCGCAAACTGTGAACATTATAAATGTGTTCAGTGCAGATTAACGTCATTTGTCCCATCTGTATGGGATTGAGTGTTAACCCTCGCACGCATGGTCTTTACCCCGGGAGCTCTGATTTCCTCCCACATGTATACACACTCGTGGTTTTCAAGAGCAATATTATCCAGCAGCATTTGTTTCAACAAGCCAACACTATACCGGTTTTGACTTTCTGTGTCTCATAAGCAGTCAGGCTAGTTAAACAAATGCCGCTGGGCTGCTCGATGTTATTGGCAAGAGCACTCCGTCTAAATTATATAATGCCCCCTAATAACACACGAGTTTGTACACGGGGAGATTAGGTTGGTGGAACACACCAGGTATTTGTAGATGTGCTTGAACCCACGGATATGATCCACAGTTGGCTTCATGAGCATGTAACCTTCCGGACTGCACAAGCCGCACACATAATGCGGCTGTTTGAAAGCTCCGTCCCCACTTTGGTGCTCGGTGAGAAAACTCAGGCCTACTCGCACACAAACAACAAAGAGAGCCCCATGTAGCCTCAATAAGACTGTTGGAGCAAGTTCTATTCGGGCGCACATATGACGGCCAGAATGGCACATGAGGGGTCGGGGTGAATCTATCCATGAGACTACCACTATTGACTTCCCCACAAAGTGCTACTTTTTTTATCGGCCCCTGTGGGATGATGAGTTGAATGTAATGTTTCGATTGCGAGCCGTAAACTCTACCACTGAGCAGCCTGGACAATTACACAGAAGAGGAAATGTGCTCCCGTATTTGCATTGTGCTAGGACTATGTATGAGACTGCTTTCAGCAAATGTATACGCACCCAATATGGGCATATCCGCTGCCAAATTCTCCAAAAGGGCTCCGATCAGTGGCCCTTGCACTGTAAATACACAAATAAACACAATTACACGAAATACTACAGCACCGTAACAACATTAAAATAGATAATTTCCTTCATACGGCGCGAATCAGATTTGGTGTGCACCAATACAGTTTTAGCAACATGAAGTAGATCAGGAGACCATTGATCAGATGCATGGCTGTTCTAGGCTGGGTTAATGTGTTTGGAGTTCTGCTGTGAACGCTATCGGACAGCAGGTGCTCTGCTTGACAGACTCACCTTTATTATTAAGGCATTCCTCTGTCTGCAGCAAACCACAGGCATGGTTTCAAACAATTCCAGAGACAAACAAGAGAGGAGATAAGGCATTACTCAAACGCTGAGAACATCTATTAGTGCCAAATACTATATGTGTGCGGTTGTATATGCGAGTGCTTAACAGACATGCAATGGATAAAAAAACAAAAGTACATAAACACTTATGCTGTGTGTACAGGGCTGTCCAACAGCAGTGTGAAGCTTTGGTTTCAACGGAACATTATTTCAAAATCAAGGTCAGGTGCTGCGTCATATCGCCACAATGTCACTGTAATGGTCGCATTATACTGTACGCGAGTGATGTCCACAATGTCACAAGAATGCGACGATGATGTTAAACAGTGGGATGATGAGTGAAAGTGATGGTCAGCCATGGACTACACAGTATGTAAGCATCAACAAAAGATCAGATATTATGTATTCAAGAATGTCCAACTGAACCTTAAGACTCTTTCGATCTTACGTTTCAGAGAGGTATTGTTTGGCAAGTGGATGCAACCTATCTCTGTAAAGCTTTTGAGTATTTTGCCCTCATATGCATGGATAGTCTCCAGGCACTCCAGTTCCCTACTACAACTCAAAACATTCATTAACAACACTGGTCAAACATTCCAATCAAGAACGCTCCTGAAAAAGTCTCGAGACTCAGCGAGTTTCCTCAATAAATTGTAATATTGCCACCCACGCAGCCTAAAACCCCCTCTTCTGCCACAGATGACAAGCCATAGGCCAGATTTTAAAACAATTTTCCATTCACAACTTGCATTCTGGTATTCAGTACCCTACCGAGGGGTTTATGTCTGCGACTGCAGCATCTCCGTCCATGTCGCTCATCTCCACGGCTTCAGAGGCATCGTCAATCCCTGACTCGGCCATCACTCCCTCCTCCTGCACCGCAGCAGCGGACGACTCGTCCATGCCCTCATAGGCAATGTCGTTCTCCTCCTCTTCCTCTTCGTAGTCAGGGGGCCACAGGTCCTCTCCGCTCTCCCCGAAGGGGTCATCCGTGGTGAAGTTGACCCCACCCAGCGCTTGTGTATTGTAGTCGCTCGTGTCCATGTCATCGGACATGGTTGCAGCGCTATGGATACAAAGGTTGGTGGATCACGCAGAGATCATCAACAGTATTAGGCATGTACATATATACCCTACGGCCAAATCTCTCACAATTTGCCCGATTTCGTCAAGATCTCGAAAGCTAAGCAGGTTTGAGTCATTGGATCAGTGACCAAGATCACGATGTCATCGTCACCATATCTGTTGATGCCACGACAACTACAAATGGGTTGTGACCTCTGCCAGAGCCTTCAACTGGCATACGGATTCAACAGGTATGTACATTGAACTCCTTTCGCACCGTACGTAGCCAACCACACTAATCAGAGGTGCTGCGAAGCTATGCTGTGATCAGCACAGGCTAGTACACGCAGTACAATACACCATTGCTCCCAAATACGTCTCAACGTCTATTCCACATTCACACGGCTGTCGCAACTTGGTCCAGTGGGCAAAGCAATGCACGACCCTCGTGACAAAAATACTTAAAACTCAGCGAGACCTTTTTCTAACGCTTTCCAACTAAATGTAATAGCGTCTGTCTCTCTCTCTGCATTGGCTCTGCCAACATCTGTCTGTGATGAGCAAGAGAAGTAAGAATGAATGGAACTTCAGTCGATGGCTTTGTTGCTTGTTTCGAAGGACTTAACGCTGTACAAAAGAGGCCAAACTGGTCAAAGGGTACATATTCTTGGTTATTTCGGTAAAGTCACGTAGAAGGGAAACAATAAAATAATAAAAATATAAAACAATGAAATCCTCACCACGTTTCGACTGCAACACAAGCAATCATCATCAGGTGTGAAAACCACAGCAGGAAAATTTGAAAAAAGTGGCGGGTTTTTTTTTATAACGTTAGCACCACGTAGAGCGATTTGACAGTTTGTTCAGATGGACGAGTCCAACTATGTTCGGACAAGAGGAGGGGGGAGACGAAAATAATGGTTGCGGTCTGAAAGCCACCGTAGGCGTGAACAATCACTTAAGACCCGAGAAATGGTTTATCAAAGGGTGTTCCCGAACCGGAGCCCGCTATCCGAGGCACCCGTGAGTCTCACCGCGGCCTAGGGGGGGTTTGGGGGGCCCCCCTCCACCGATACCGCATCACAAATCCAACACTTGTTGTGAGGCCAAAAAAGGGGGCGCACGTTGTAGGAAAACAAAAAAACGTTGCAGAGAAGCCATGCGTCGGAATGGTTTTTCTTCACTCCTCCCGTTTCGAACCAACCAATCGAATCGCGCTCTCTCCGTTTCAATTCACGCCGCTCGCAAAGCGTTGACCGTGGAAGGTGTTACAAAACGCGCTTCGAATCGCAATTTGGTGAAGCAAATCGTAAGATGACAGAGCGATGAGAGACAGACACACACGCGCGCGCACACAACGCCGAGGGGCTTTACTGGACATCGTCCAAACAAACTACGACAGCGTTCAAGAAGAGCGGGCTCTCGGCCAAGTGTGGCTCGAAAGGCGATCGATCGACGGGTCCAGGGATCATAAACGGAGCAAATGTAACGCAGTTTCGTTGTTCCGGCCACGCTTACACGAGGCGAGGTTCTTTACAACACCCGGCGGGCGATGTTCGAGCGAGACTCGCGGCCATAGACCACCCCCCCACCCACCGCCGCCTCAATGCAACAACAACAACAACGTCGTCGTCGGCATCGACCGTGGCCTGACGATATAACTAACGACGGTCATCACTCAAAAAAGACGATCCCGGATTGCATTTGTTTAGCCGGCTCGGTCACGACTGGCGCATGGAGGGGGACAGCTGTGACGGTGACGCCGACGGCGACGGCGGCGTTGTCTCTCTCATCGCCCGTCACTCGCATCCAGCGGCGAGCGCGGCTCTCGGTGTATAGAGGACACTGGGGGGCCCCCCCTCTTTCGGTGTATAGAGGACACTAGGCCCCCCCCTGGTCATGTCGCTCTCTGTGTATAGAGGACACTGGGCCCCCCCTCTGTGTATAGAGGACACTGGGGGGCCCCCCTCTCTGTGTATAGAGGACACTGGGGGGCTCCCCCTGGTCATGTCGCTCTCTGTGTATAGAGGACACTGGGGGTCTCTGTATAGAGGACACTGGGCCCCCCCCCTCTGTGTATAGAGGACACTAGGGCCCCCCCTCTGTGTATAGAGGACACTGGGGGCCCCCCTCTCTGTATAGAGGACACTGGGCCCCCCTCTCTGTGTATAGAGGACACTGGGCCCCCCTCTCTGTGTATAGAGGACACTGAGCCCCCCGCTCTCTGTGTATAGAGGACACTAGGGCCCCCCCCCCCCCACCTGGTCATGTCGCACTAAAGTGTCGACCTCGCAACGCCACACGAACCGACGCGCTCTTATTAAAAGGCAACTCTTAAATGAAACATTAAATGCGATCTCTGAACGCACGGCGATTATGATTGCGGGCGGGCGGGCCTCCCAATGTGACTTCAAATAGCAAGGCCCGAGGCACCACAACAAGAACAACACGAACAACAACAACAACCTTCAATGTCTGCCGCGGATGAGCACCGGCACACATCACAAACCACGCACGGCGCACGCCGCTTCGCTTGACTGCAACATCATCAACAACATCAACAACAGCAGCAGCAGTAAATAAACACATAAGCTCGACTCCCGGGACGAGGTGACCCCCCCCCCCCGACACACCACACACAACCAGCCAACAACGACGGGCTACCACCCACCTGAATGAGACGTGCCGTGATGTGTGTGTTGTCCTGTGATGTGTGTTGTCCTGTGTGTGTGTACTGGTTGTCCTGTGTGTGTACTTGTTGTTGTGTGTGTGTATATACTTGTTGTGTGTGTGTATATATACTTGTTGTGTGTGTGTACTTGTTGTGTGTATGTACTTGTTGTCGTGAGTGTGTATTTGTTGTTGTGTGTACTGCAGCGGCGGTGGTAGCGAAGCCGGCCTCAGTCGAGGGTGGTGAGATGGTGCAGCAGGCGCTGGATTATTGTTGTTGTTGGTTTAAGCGATGTGCAGGAAGGAGGAGGTGGTGACACATGAAGGAGGAGGTGAGACAGGAGAGGAGGAGGAGGTGAGAGAGGAGAGGAGGAGGAGGTGAGAGAGAGGAAGGAGGAGGAGGAGGTTGAGCTTCTACCGATGACGTATTTGGCCATTTGAGAATGACGTCTAAATACTTGCGCCGAATTTATTTTTTAAGTAAAAAACATTTATATTATAACAGGACGCTAGGGGGTGTAATGTCCGTCTTTACTTGTTATTTTAACGCCTCGCTGTGCTGCTGCTGCTGCGTCGATTACATTCGTGAATTATTTTCTCGATTCCCTCCTCATCCTCTGACAACCCATCGAGGGAATGAGTCGGCCTCGGCGGCTCCTCAGATACAACTCATTCCCTCGTGGGGGGCTCCCGTGATAACTCATTCCCTCGTGGGGGGCTCCCGTGATAACTCATTCCCTCGTGGGGGGCTCCCGTGATAACTCATTCCCTCGTGGGGGGCTCCCGTGATAACTCATTCCCTCGTGGGGGGCTCCCGTGATAACTCATTCCCTCGTGAGGGGCTCCCGTGATAACTCATTCCCTCGTGATAACTCATTCCCTCGTGGGGGGCTCCCGTGATAACTCATTCCCTCGTGGGGGGCTCCCGTGATAACTCATTCCCTCGTGATAACTCATTCCTTCGTGGGGGGCTCCCGTGCCAACTCATTCCCTCGTGGGGGGCTCCCGTGATAACTCATTCCCTCGTGGGGGGCTCCCGTAATAACTCATTCCCTCGTGGGGGGCTCCCGTGATAACTCATTCCCTCGTGGGGGGCTCCCGTGCTAACTCATTCCCTCGTGATAACTCATTCCCTCGTGGGGGGATCCCGTGATAACTCATTCCCTCGTGAGGGGCTCCCGTGATAACTCATTCCCTCGTGATAACTCATTCCCTCGTGGGGGGCTCCCGTGATAACTCATTCCCTCGTGGGGGGCTCCCGTGATAACTCATTCCCTCGTGATAACTCATTCCCTCGTGGGGGGCTCCCGTGATAACTCATTCCCTCGTGAGGGGCTCCCGTGATAACTCATTCCCTCGTGATAACTCATTCCCTCGTGGGGGGCTCCCGTGATAACTCATTCCCTCGTGGGGGGCTCCCGTGATAACTCATTCCCTCGTGATAACTCATTCCTTCGTGGGGGACTCCCGTGCCAACTCATTCCCTCGTGGGGGGCTCCCGTGATAACTCATTCCCTCGTGGGGGGCTCCCGTAATAACTCATTCCCTCGTGGGGGGCTCCCGTGATAACTCATTCCCTCGTGGGGGGCTCCCGTGCTAACTCATTCCCTCGTGATAACTCATTCCCTCGTGGGGGGCTCCCGTGATAACTCATTCCCTCGTGAGGGGCTCCCGTGATAACTCATTCCCTCGTGATAACTCATTCCCTCGTGGGGGGCTCCCGTGATAACTCATTCCCTCGTGATAACTCATTCCTTCGTGGGGGGCTCCCGTGCCAACTCATTCCCTCGTGGGGGGCTCCCGTGATAACTCATTCCCTCGTGGGGGGCTCCCGTAATAACTCATTCCCTCGTGGGGGGCTCCCGTGATAACTCATTCCCTCGTGGGGGGCTCCCGTGATAACTCATTCCCTGGTGATAACTCATTCCCTCGTGGGGCCTCCCGTGATAACTCATTCCCTGGTGATAACTCATTCCCTCGTGGGGGGCTCCCGTGATAACTCATTCCCTCTTGGGGGCTCCCGTGATAACTCATTCCCTCGTGGGGGCTCCCGTGATAACTCATTCTCTCGTGGGGGGCTCCCGTGATAACTCATTCCCTCGTGCTAACTCATTCCCTCGTGATAACTCATTCCCTCGTGGGGGGCTCCCGTGCCAACTCATTCCCTCGTGGGGGGCTCCCGTGATAACTCATTCCCTCGTGAGGGGCTCCCGTGACAACTCATTCCCTCGTGGGGGGGCTCCCGTGATAACTCATTCCCTCGTGATAACTCATTCCCTCGTGGGGGGCTCCCGTGATAACTCATTCCCTCGTGATAACTCATTCCCTCGTGGGGGGCTCCCGTGATAACTCATTCCCTCGTGATAACTCATTCCCTCGTGATAACTCATTCCCTCGTGGGGGGCTCCCGTGATAACTCATTCCCTCGTGATAACTCATTCCCTCGTGGGGGGCTCCCGTGATAACGCATTCCCTCGTGATAACTCATTCCTCGTGGGGGGCTCCCGTGATAACTTATTCCCTCGTGATAACTCATTCCCTCGTGGGGGACTCCCGTGATAACTCATTCCCTCGTGGGGGGCTCCCGTGATAACTCATTCCCTCGTGATAACTCATTCCCTCGTGATAACTCATTCCCTCGTGGGGGGCTCCCGTGATAACTCATTCCCTCGTGATAACTCATTCCCTCGTGGGGGGCTCCCGTGATAACGCATTCCCTCGTGATAACTCATTCCTCGTGGGGGGCTCCCGTGATAACTTATTCCCTCGTGATAACTCATTCCCTCGTGGGGGACTCCCGTGATAACTCATTCCCTCGTGGGGGGCTCCCGTGATAACTCATTCCCTCGTGATAACTCATTCCCTCGTGGGGGGCTCCCGTGATAACTCATTCCCTCGTGGGGGGCTCCCGTGATAGCTCATTCCCTCGTGATAACTCATTCTTTCGTGGGGGGCTCCCGTGATAACTCATTCCCTCGTGATAACTCATTCCCTCGTGGGGGGCTCCCGTGATAACTCATTCCCTCGTGATAACTCATTCCCTCATGGGGAACTCCCATGATAACTTATTCCCTCGTGATAACTCATTCCCTCGTGGGGGCTCCCGTGCCAACTCATTCCCTCGGGGGGGGGCTCCCGTGATAACTCATTCCTTTGGGGGGGGCTCCCGTGCCAACTTATTCCCTCGTGGGGGGCTCCCGTGTCAACTCATTCCCTCGTGGGGGGCTCCCGTGACAACTCATTCCCTCGTGGGGGGCTCCCGTGCTGACTCATTCCCTCGTGGGGGGCTCCCGTGCCAACTCATTCCCTCATGGGGGGCTCCCGTGCTAACTCATTCCCTCGTGGGGGGCTCCTGTCGGTTCAACGTGGGGTGGGTGGGGGGTGGAAACGTCGTTTGTCGTCGTTGTGAAGTTCTGATTGTTCATCACAATTCCCGGAGTCGTGACAATCTATCGGTAATAGTGGGGTGAATACTATCCAGAGTACCTAGTCGTGCAAGGGCGACATTCACTTTGCCTATTTGTATTACCAATTTAAGGTCCTGGAGTGGCCTAGCCAGTCTTCAGACCTTAATCCCATAGAAAATCTGTGGAGGGAGCTGAAGGTTCGAGTTGCCAAACGTCAGCCTCGAAACCTTAATGACTTGGAGAAGATCTGCAAAGAGGAGTGGGACAAAATCCCTCCTGAGATGTGTGCAAACCTGGTGGCCAACTACAAGAAACGTCTGACCTCTTTGATTTCCAACAAGGGTTTTGCCACAAAATACTAAGTCATGTTTTGCAGAGGGGTCAAATACTTATTTCCCTCATTAAAATGCAATGGTCCCAGCTGCCTTGAGATCATTGACAAGATCCTCTCGTGTAGTTCTGGGCTGATTCCTCACCGTTCTCATGATCATTGCAACTCCACGAGGTGAGATCTTGCATGGAGCCCCAGGCCGAGGGAGATTGACAGTTTTTTTGTGTTTCTTCCATTTGCGAATAATCGCACCAACTGTTGTCACCTTCTCACCAAGCTGCTTGGCAATGGTCTTGTAGCCCATTCCAGCCTTGTGTAGGTCTACAATCTTGTCCCTGACATCCTTGGAGAGCTCTTTGGTCTTGGCCATGGTGGAGAGTTTGGAATCTGATTGATTGATTGCTTCTGTAGACTGGTGTCTTATGTACAGGTAACAAGCTGAGATTAGGAGCACTCCCCGTAAGAGTGTGCTCCTAATCTCAGCTCATTACCTGTATAAAAGACACCTGGGAGCCAGACATCTTTCTCATTGAAAGGGGGTCAAATACTTATTTCCCTCATTAAAATGCAAATCAATTTATAAAAATTTTGACATGCGTTTTTCTGGATTTTTTGTTGTTATTCTGTCTCTCACTGTTCAAATAAACCTACTATTAAAATTATAGACTGATCATTTCTTTGTCAGTGGGCAAACGTACAAAATCAGCAGGGGATCAAATACTTTTTTCCCTCACTGTACGTGACTTTACCAAAAGAACCATGGATCCTTGCAGTCACGAAAACTTCAAATCATGAATTAAGTCTTGGTTCGCTTGGAGAGAAGGCTCTCTTGGGTCGTGGGACAGACCCTGGTGCAAATGGGTTGACTTGACCGAGATGACCGTGCAGATGAACACTGTCTGTGCCACCCCACGGCATGGCTGTAAACCTATACGGTTTTACTCCGTGTTCTATTTAAGAGGGACAATTTGAGTGTTCAGGTCCATACGGAGTACAGCCGTTTACATTCGGGCCAAAATAAAGGCATTGTTTATATTTCTCCCCTTGTGATGGGACTTTGTAGGATGAGCGCTTAGGTTTATAAGGGGCACGGGGGTGACCAATACGGTCTGAATTGGTCTGTAATAAGGTAGGGTACTGATAAGGGGTTGACGGGTATGCAGATGCATCGGCTGTGCACCATCCTGTGCCAACTTTTGCTGCGTTTTATCAACCCGGCGCTTCCCGCTCGTTGTTGTGAGCGTCGCTCCTCTGCCCCCCGTCTCTTGTTGCTGGAGGGCGACTGCCTCCAACTTCCCAATAGCAGCAGCGTCCTTCACGAGCCTCATCCATTGCAATCCATCTGACACCGCTAGTGCCAGTCACTTAACTACTCGCAGTCTCCGTATTCTCTATTTTATTCAATTACTTGGTAGCTATTTAGATAATTGAGACGTAAGATAACTCTCTGAAATATATTCTCGATAATCAAACGCGGTTAAAGGTCAACAACCACAGCGACAAATACGATGCCCTTTGATTGTTGTTAGATCAGTTTGTAAAATCGTTGGTAAAAAAAAAATGCCCAACCACCTTAGGCCAAGAAGGGTGAGAGGAATGTTATACAGATGGGCGACATGGTACTTTCACTATTGACTTAAATAACGATGAATTACCATCTTCTCACACACCTCGTAAGCGAAGTAACTACCTTGTAGTTGCTCGTAATTGAAGTAAATAGGCA